ATATAATAATATAAAAGCTAAGCTGGTGGCTTTATAAATAAGAAATATTAGAACATAGAGAACATAGATATTAAAGCAATTATATAAGATGCCTGAAATAATAGTATATATATTAATAATGAAACTTGAGAGGCTGGTAAACTATTATTATATATATATATATATAATATCTCTTAATCCTTGGGAGAAGCAATGTGATAAAATCTATATTATTAAGAATATATTAAAAAATTATATATTACTTTTATTACCGGAGAATTATCTTAAAAGATTAGTATATTCTGTCTTACTTAGCTTGAATAAACAGAATCTAGAATATCTTATTTGTTTTATTTATATATAAACTAGCCGTGCTTTACACTTAAGAAAGCGCTTTTTTTTAGAAGAATAAAAAATAATATAGACCAATCTATTTAGTAAGCTTAATGATTTCTAGTATAAATAGATAACCTATAGTATACAACAGAAGTATATTTAAGACATACTCTTATCAGTATAGTCTAATTAAATATCTGGTTTATTAATTTTAATACTGTGTATAAAACATCTCTCTAAACTTTACAATTATTATAATACAGTTTTTGGATATTACTTTTGAGTTTTCAATATACCTTTTTTGTAAATTATAGAGATGGAATAACAGTGCTGATAATATAGAAAAATAAGCTAATATTATTTCAAATATAATTTTCTAGGGGCTTGTTATATAGCGGGCATTAAGTAAAGATATTTAAAATATAGAAATAATCTAAGTCTTATAGACTTAGTTATTAATACTAGATATCTGTCTTAGAGATGACGTGGTATATCTATAAAACTAATATAGTTATATAGATTACAGTAGTAGTCAGTACCTCAGAAATAGGTAATATCTGTCCACAGTTATTATATATTTATATATATAAATAATACTAAACTTGTTGCTCTTTACCTCTATACAGGGAGGGATTTAATAAATACAGAAAAACAGATTCTTCAGTATAATACAAGATAATAATAGAAAGCTTAAAATATATTATAAATTTTTAGGATACTAGGACAGAATTTTAGATAATATACTTATCCAACCTTCTTTAATCTTGGGAATAATAATATATTATAGTTAGACTTACCCAGCCCTGTCCATTTTTAATAAACTGGGCTCTTGTTCTACTATAATAGATTAGTCAAGTATTCTTAATATTTACAGGATTATAAAGTTATAATATAATAGCAAGTCTCTGCTTTCTAGGAACAGGCCTTGTTCTCCTATTCTACTCCCATACTTATTGTAACGTAATCAACGGTTGGACGGCCCACACGGTTGGGCGGCCCATCTGGTAATACTATACAAAAGACTCTTTTTAAACACAAGATATCTCAACTATTACAAGTTTAAAAGACCCGATATTGTATAAATAAAGTAAAAATAATATATATAATAATCTAATACCTCTCAAAAATCTATATAATTCTTAATAGTATCTTATCATATTATAATATATATATTTTATCTGTAATTTTAAATACATTGATATATCCTTTATAAAAAATTCTTTAAAAATCAGAGAAAATTATATATCATTCTTTCTGCTAATATATTATCTTTATATAAAGTTAGGACTAATATCGTCCAGAATTGGTTGAAATATAACAGATTTAAAAAGATATATTTTATATGGGATAACCAGATGGGCCGTCCAACCGTGTGGGCCGTCCAACCGTTGATTACGTTATGTTGTAGCCGGGTCTAAGACGATGACTAATAACTATGTTGATCCTCTCACCATGTCCGAATGTAGATGAGCCAAATCTACCGGTCTGCAACCTCTGTCATTGCTTGGTTGCGAGAGCTGAGCTCCAATATTGAAGAGGCAATTGGCTACAATGATTGGACGATGGGAGAACATACGCCAAGAAGCCAGTATTGGCACGACACTTGCGACGGGAGCAAAATCGTAAGAGAAACATTGTAAAATGGCGATCCTACTTAGGTATCCTTGAAGTTTTACAGTCCCCATATTGGCGGCGCCTGTGGACTTTGCAGGAATGGATTGTGCCAAAAAAAAAAAAAAAAGCATCCTACAACAGCACGAGCAGGGATACAAGTAGGGCTCCCACCACAAATCACTGTTTACTTAAAAGAGGATCTCCCTAGATTGCTACTGTACCTGATCTACATTTATTGATATATGAACGTTCCCCAACAGATGTCTCTTGATGATTAAACTGTGCTATAACTAACATCATCCTGCAACAGCCCAAACGCACTTTCAGATACCTCACTTCCTTTTTAAGTCTGCCTCGCCCATAAAAGCCCTCACTCTGTCCTTGATTTTTTCAATACCTTCGTGTCCCATTTGCGCCGCCGCCTCATACGAAAGACGATACAAATGCACCGCCTCCGAAAACAAGGGCCTCACTTCCGTCCAGCCAGTGACTTTCCGGAGTTTCTCGGAACCAGTCCACTGCGGGAAGTCAATCAGCGTTGGCGGCCACGTGGTCTCGCTCTCCGACAAACCATCAACATACTCCACCCCATGCTTTATCTTATACTCCTTAACTAGCGCCTGTGCAATCTCATCCACAGTCTCATACCTAGAGGATGAAATATTGAAGATCTCTCCTTCCACCTCATTCCTCAAAGGGTGAGACGCAATGGCCACATAGGCATCGCCGCAGTCATCCACGTGTAGCGCGTGGCAGACCGAGTTAGCGGGAACAGGGATCACGAGCGATTTGTTGACCTTGGCGACCCCAGCCGCAATCTCAAAGAAGCCGCGATAGTAGCTAGCAGAGCGACCGAAGACATTAGTCGGGCGGACAAGAACAGGCGCAAAAAGATCGGCGTGCTGAAAGATCTCGAGGGAGAGGGTTGCGCGTGGGGTCAGAATAGCTGGCGGGTTAAGCGGGCTTTCTTCCGTGTGCGGCTGTAAGCCCTCCTGACCGTCATAGTGTGGACCCATACCGTAGTCCTTGCAGCCGGAGGAGAAGATAACCAGTGGACGGGTGCCAACTTCATTGCTTGCTTGGGCGAGAGTGCGGAGGAGCTTGACGATGTTCCTATAGTGGCCCTCATAATTCTCTATACTCTCAGATGTCGAGGCAATAGCGTTTAAAGCTGGCGGAAGTTGCTCGAGAATGGATTGATGGTTCTCCACGTTGTCAATTTGGCCAATGACGGGGATAATTTCATCCATTTGGAGAGAGAGAGCTGCCTTTTCTGAGCGGATGAGGCCGTATGTAATCCAACCAGCGCGGGCAAAGGAACGTGCAACGGCATTACCGATATAGCCGTTAGCGCCAGTGACAAGGACAGTGCGGGCCATGACTGAAAGTTCTCTAATATTGACCACGAATAATGTTGTAGTTGTGCGCTACTCCAGTATCAAGAGCCAACTAATTGTCTTAAGTATCTCCAACTTGATGTTTAGTAATTATCCGTTAGACCCCGCTGGCTGATTATAAATGGGGTCTCACACGCGACGGAGTCAGAAATTAGTACATCAATATCAGAGAAATCCTGATTCAGAATGATCTAGGTCACGTGTGAATACACTCAGTGTCAGACTAAGTTTTTCTAATTCTGTATCAGCTTTTCCGAAATAAATTAGCTATTATATCCATACCTTTAGGATTCCTTAGGGTAGTTTTAGGGGTTATTAGGATATTTAGAGTATTAGGGATTTTTAGGGATTTTTCTTTTATTTCTAGAATAGATTTTCAAATCACGTGAGGAGCTGATTTAGTATCAAAAATGATAATAAATCACGTGTATAAGCTCAGTCGGTATTAGGAATTTTCTGATATTGACTGAACAGTTTTTCCGGCTCCGTTCTGATACTGACGCACTAATTTCTGACCCCGTCGCGGCTGTATGCCCTAAATAAATAGCGGAAAGTCGCCGGCGCGGGACCCCTTGATTACAAATTCGCTGGTACATCTGTTCGGCCTCTTTTAGTTCTCCCAGTTCAGTGTAGAGAATCCCAAGATTGTTAACGGTGTCAAGGGTAGATAAGTGATCAGTGCCTTCTCCTTGCCTGCCAGCGCTCGCTGTTACATCTCTTCGGCCTGTCTTAGTTTGCCCTGACCTGAGTAGAGATTTCCTGTCCTATCAATTGTACCGCTTTGCCAATGGTCCCTCTCCCTGCTAATCAGATAGATTTGCATGTGGAAGCAACCGCTGCTGGATCTCTGCATATTCTCTCTCGTTTTTAATGTGGGACCATGTATCCAATAGAAATCAGCGCCAACTCATGCAATTGGCTAGTAAGATTATTGTAGTCAGCGACGTGGTGACACCAGTCCTGTAGCACAGGGTGCAAGGCGTAACATGGCGGCGGCGGCGGCGGTGCCCACATCTGACCCTTTTTCTTGGCAGGAGAATAACGCGAGGATCGTGACCCCGTTACCAGGAATCCCTGTTCTCCACACCCTGCGGTTGTATGTGATAATTCATATCGCAAATATCGAGGTATTCTCTAACCTGGGATAGAAGCTGTTCGGAGTCGTTCCACTCACGTGATTCTGCCATGGCAACCCCTCTTTCTTCATCACTGAACACAACTGGATAATCTGCCGAGGAGATCCTCAGTGAGTTAGAAAGCTTCGCGGCTTATTTGAGCATAGTGATTCAGAAACCAGCTGGGTGTTACTCATTTACTAAGGGTATATTCATAAGAACTATTATGGGTAATTGGAATGATTAAAAAAAAGATTAAATTAAAGATGACATTAGACAACATTTGACGACAGCAGAGATGCTCGATCTTTAGCAAGTGTCGAAGCATAAATCTTGAAGACTTTGACAGCATTCTGCAGCGACAACGGAAAAGCACAAGGAAGAGAAGTATCAATATTTTTGTTCACGGTGGAGTCTTGGGAGAAAAAGAAAAAGATTCGTGTAAGGGAACGAAGTTGTCTTCAGGCTCTGTAAGACAGCCACTGAATACTGACAACCTCAGTCCCTGTACTCTCATCAATATCAATAGTAAGGTCTGAGTGTGCAGCTGAATACTCGATCAGCTACTACCTGCAATCGCGCTGTATGGTGCCACTCCAGGGTAGAAGGATACTGGTAGTGTTAGAGTTGGAATGGACAACGTGTAGCCGAAAGCTGAGGAAAGATCCTCGGGCATCATGGTTGCTGAGTATCCTGATGGTGCTGATGTTACGGTGATAGTGCTTGCATAGGATGTTGGTGTCGCAGCCTCATTAAAACATACACCAGTGCCATAAGCGTTTCCGCAGAAGTAGGTTTGTTCGTCTCCAACCTCTGTCCAGATATTCACCTCTTCAACGGTAATATCTGTGCAGGGAACCTCAGCAGGGCATGAAAGAAATATAGATGCCCTTCTAGCACCGTCGTATTCAGGTACCAGTCCAGTTAGAGAAAGTGATATTGGTATAATATACACCATCTCCCTCGGCGGCTGACATGCTCGACCAGTACGCATCAAGGTCCAGCGAGTAGGCGTTTCCATGACCTAAATGATAGTCATGGAGTCAGTATCCAGTCTCTCCCAGTGTGATCGATCAATGGATAGTGGGTGCCAATAAAGTTTTCCAAGAGAACATTGGAGACAGTGCCATCTCCTCCATTGGACTTGATCAAAAACATGTTATTCGAAGACCATGTGTACACATTGCGATAGGTAATGTCAGTGACATTAGCCCCGGTTCCCAGGGACCCCATGCCGCAGCCACCGCTGATATTGCAATATATATTTTCGACGAGAATATTCGCGGCACCGGTCTAGTAGGAACTATGTTAACAAGGCCCAACAGGTGAATAGGTGGAATATGAACCTTCATAGTGACGCACTCATCTTTATTGGTGACCATAACCTATAATCGTTAGCTAGCATTGATATTATGGGCCAGGATTCCTTACATCATGAATCCAAATATTGCTACCAGCAACATCAATACCATCTAAACCACCGGAATCTCCACCTCGGATTGCCATATTATAAACCTCACCATTATAAGCATCACCAATACCGAAATGAAACATCGGCGCGTCCACCAAGGCAAGGTCATGAACTGACAGTCTGTAACAGCACTAACTGACAGAATTCGGGGTCCAACGCGAGTACCCTGAAGATGGTATAGATATCCGCTGGCTTGAATGGCGCCTTTACCAGTGGAGCTGAAAAATTCGATGTCAGAGCCATCACTGATCGAGAACATGTACCCCTGAGACCCTGGATCAGATCCACGGTATAAAACGCCGTCGAGCTGGACCGCGGCCCCAGTTCCGTTAACAAGGCCAACCCAATTGACAAGAAGATAGTCTCCTTCCGGCACGTATACCAGTCCACCGGACGCACAATCATTAAAAGCATTCATAATTGGCTGACCAACATCGGTGGTATTATCTGCCACTGCTCCATAATCCAAGACATTGCATGTTTTCACAGCAGCCTTGTCTGTAGCGGAAGTTGTAGGGCCGACATGTCCAGTGAGCTGCGCTTGAACGATAAAGGGCATTGACCCAAGGATGGCTAAGATTGGGAAGGAAAAATGCATGGTGACAGGATGTTTGCCAGAAGCAAGACCACAGAGAATCAGAAGCTTACCAGCTTAGGAGGCAATATACTGAGGTTCAACAACAGTAGTCCAAGAATTTATATAGAGTTGGCCTCGGTTAATTCACAACTCATCAACTGATCTGTCAAAATAACCAACCTCCTTAATCTAATGGAGACACTTTGTTCCGTTGATTCATCGGCCCCGTCAGCGAAGACGGCCAATAAGAATTATACTATTCACTATTTATGGATTGGAATCCTCCATCATGCAACTGTTGTATTGGGTATAGCTCTACATCTTGTACATGCAGATCATACCGTTTCCGTGCAGCTTTAATATCGCAAACGAGATGTATCCCGTCGGTACCACAGATCTTTCCCGTACGGACTTACCTTCCCTATTAACTCCGGTTTAATGCAACTGTCTGCCGCCGATAGTAGTATCCTATATGGCCCACCAGCTCCTCTTCCATGTAGGATTTAGGTTGCAGGATGCTACTCAAGCTTTGTGAGCCATACAGAGGCCGAATGAAGTCCGGCGAAAACATGGGAACGGAGCTCCATAACAACATCTCGCTCGGTGAAGCAGACGAAAACAAATCAAACAAATATTGAGCTCGTAGCCCATACGACAGCCTGCATCGCTCTACTTTCCTGAAATTTCACATCCAAGTCAAGGCAGTGAAAGCGGGAACGAAGAGGGTATTGATACCCTGTAGCCGAGTGCCTATGACGCCACGCCAACAACAATCAACGTAACCGTGACTATGCACAGGATAAATGGGGTTTCCTTGAGCCACAGACTCATCCACTCAACATGAGGAATATAGCCATACACCAAGCCCACTATATCCTCGCGGTAGACAAACTGCTGGCCTTCTGGGTAAATCCCAGTATCGTCGACAGCATTATTATCACCTTTACGTCAAGATAAGTTGCCTGGTCCTCGTAAATACGCCTTAGGTCTACACAGACAAAAAGGGGGAGCGGAGGACATACTCTGATTGCGAAACCCCATCCACTCCTCGTTCAATAACCCGAATCGCTCGGTGTACCATTGGTAGTGGACGAGCATCGAACCACACAACTGGAATATCACCGGTATGTATCCTCTGCCGCCGATTCCACAGGAATATGAGATCTCCTCGGTGGAGGCTTGGCTCCAGTGATTCTGACGAGACCACCATGAGGGCATATGCAGTGCCGGCGATAACGCATACAATCTTCCAGGCCACGAGAGAGGCACCCAATGTCTTGAGAATGGGTAGTGCTTTGGAGTAGATGCGTCTTAGCTTCATATCTGAACTCAATTGGTGAAGCCGTAGTTGGCAATAGTGTAGAATGTGGTAGACCCGAGAGGACATAATGGAGATTCGGGGGAAAGCAGACGCTGCAAACTGGATGCCAGAGCACTTTTTAGCTATAGCGGCCCTCCTCTCTTGGTCCTGAAAATTGTTTGACCTAATCGCTTGGCGTCAAGAGGATGGATACACCAGCCTAAATCCAGGCTCAGTCATTCCTAGGGTAAACAACTGCCCCAACGCCTGGCTGGGAGCAAAACGTGGTTGGTCTGTTCAAAATCAGCTATCCCAAAAGACCCATGATATGGTTGCAACCAATGCATTTGGGGTCATTTCGGTGTGATCTCACTCAATATTGGTCCAATATGTGGAATAGGTAGGTCCGCTCTCATTATCTTCCCTGTCGGTTGTGGCCTCTTTCCTTCCTTGCAACATCACCAGACACTAACCTCTAATTCTTGATAGGCCGACCAAGAGAATCATTGACACAAGGGCGAGGACCGTCCCCTCAAACTTGTTAGAAGAATGCATGTTAGCGTGCAGGGATTCGACTCCCGTCTCCAGAAAATGACGCATCTCTTCATTCATGTCTAGTGATGCGGTGCACAACAAAAATATAAAAGGGTCCTCAATACCCGACTCTCTGACATCCAGAGAAACCAAACCAATCCTCTGCTTGAATCAGCTGCTGCAATTTCTACCCTATTTACCCCAACTTCCCTTTCTCTTCCATATACTAGTAACCATAACATGCACAATAAGTTCATAGTCTCCGGCATATCCGTTGCCGCCATCTCTCTTCTTCCTTCCTGCCCCGCACCTCCCATCGCTTCTCCCATTATCACCGGCCTAGCTGCTCCTCTTGCAGGTAATCTGCTCATGATTGGTCTCAACGGCAACGTCAAGCGTGCTGAGGTCAACGGCGAGGTTCTATTCAAGCGCCAGTCCTGGCCAGGTGTCCCTGACTACAACATCCAAATGTGCCATGACGCCAACATTGGCAGAAGCGTGACTGTCACTCAGACCTCCACTTCTTGTACGTGCTCCTATGTCCCTGGAAACTGAAAATGGAAATACTGATCATCACCAGCTTTGAGAATTGAGAACCTTGCTGCTGAATGCATGAACCTCGCTACACTTTTTACCGAGGAGGGAACACCCAGCCCATGTGGATCTGCTTGCCTCGAGTACCTCAATCTCAGCACTGAGGACTACCAGAAGCTCATGGACATTATCAATAACCTCCTCTAAGAAGGCTTTGGCTGGTAGATAGGGCTGGACAAATCAAGGATAACCTGGAAAGTTGTACTGTTAGCAGTTCGTATGCAGCAGCCATCGCTTTGCTGTAATATGTAACAGCAGTCCTTTGAACATGATCTGCTTATAGGTGTTGACCTTTTCGACCTCCTATGATTTGCTATGATTGTAGACTGGAGATGCCTTCCACTGAGTTCGAGATTATAATGTTTTTTCAAATCCTTAACGACGCATGGAGAACATCGTTTCCAACGTCTTGGTACCCTGGTTGGGCAGAAGAGTAGCTTCAAACGCTCAGCTGAGATACTGCAGCTACGGTGTCGACTAACGTAACCGAATATACGATAATCCACATGCCTGGCCCGCAGGTTGGGCCAGGTCAAGATACCTGTGTGATACAACTTACCCAAGCGACGGACTATCTCGACAAAGTAAAGTTGTTCGAGACTATTGGGACGTGATATTTAACTTTACTTAGGCTTTAAATATTCCCAATATGGGTTTCTGTTGATTATTTCCAATGGTTACGCTAATGCTGCACCAGTGGGGCCTAAGTACAACGCACTGCTTCGGTTGGCCTAGGTTAGCCGGGTTTTGATCTATGTAGATCAAGCTGTATAGTCGTGGTTACTATTACTTGTTATTCCTGTCAGACGTGGCACCAAGTGCGAAACTAATCGAAAATTACGGCTCAAATTCAGGATCAAGGAGCACAAGAGATGGTGCAATGATGACTACAGGAAGCTTGTCAGATCAAAATCAATAAATCATTGCGAGCCTTAGTGCCGCCTCGTGGATTCCCACGCTGCGCCAAACCCGAAATATGTCATAATCGCAAGGTTGCTCCCGTTCCATATATAGTTTGTAGACGGTTTGCATCGCCTCATCGGTAATCTCATCACCATCGGTCAAGAAAAACAACACCCCTGGCCCAGTGAGAAAGTCCGGGCGGTCGAGGACCACAAAAAAAGTCTGGTAGGGTTCCCTGTCCCTGGGGTTTTCGCGGTTGTACCCCACTTGTGGGAACTTGCGGGCACTTTGTCCTAAAGCGGGCTGGGAAACGGCCACTCCCACCTCGGGTCTCGAATTCATTAACCCTCGATGTGACGACAGAGTTGCGCCTAGTGACTGGTTGGGGGCGGAACGAAATTCAAAGTATACTGTCTTTCTTTGGGGGAGGCTTTCCAGGATCGCGGCGGTGAAAGCGCGCCCAATCATCTCCAACGTCAAGGGATTCTCGTTGCTGTGAGAAAATGTGACGTATATGATATACCTGAGGTCTGGTTCCAGGATAGGCACAGTGGCTGATGTCAGGACAATAGCCGCTTTGTCGGAGGATGGCTGGGCAACGGCAATTTCATTAGGCAGTGAGTCAGCTCTGCGCTGCCACGCCTCTATAATCTCCGGCCTAGGTGGTTCAACCGACCTATTAGGGTCGCCCTCATCCTCTCCCAGGCCGTAATCGTACACATAATCCTCAACAACATCATCACGTTGACTTCGAATGTGAAGGGAGGCCAACTCTCGACGGACATGGTAGATATTTCGGCACTTGCGGACCACAAGCTCCTCCCGTTCGGGCCAAACTTCCTCCTCCCATCCCTCGTCGTCATCAGGCTTGGGTGAAGGCAGGTCAACGCGAGCCTGGTACGGAAAACAGCGGTCGAATTTGACGAACAAAGGTCCGGTTTCGGCTTCATCGTCCGGATAAAACGGATAGTCGCGGAAACTGTAGGACATAATAACAAATATAACTCCCTGAAGTTGCGGATCCTCTCTGCTGAGGGCGACCTTGGCGATCCCAGGGAAGAGACCATCATCTCGAGATGGTGAGATGGCCTTGCGATGGAATATCTCACGCCGCTGATGCTCCACGCAGGCGAATACATCGGTTTGTGGGGTACAATAGATCTCAAATGACGGTCCGGGTGACGTGGATATCTCACGGGATAAGTATCGGCATATAGCGATGAGATCATTCTCTTGCTCGAGGGCAACAGTAGTATAGACCTGAATTGCGAAGGCTGGATGTATCGCCTCGGGTTCCGGCGTGGTTGTTCTGTGGACTAACAGAGTTGCAGGCTGGCTTGCATGGTCTTGATAAAGCTGAGCACACCATTGTAGTCGCCCGCCCCGTGGGATATTCTTGTTTCTGGCCATTGCTTTTTCTGGGCTGACGGGAAGGAAGTGGCAGTTGAGAATGCCAGGATAGTAGGACTGTAAACTAAAAAACTTGTGCTATCTTCTAATCCCACCGCCGAGCTGACCGCTCTGCTTGGAGTTTCTGCAGGTTTCCGCTGATTGGTGTAAGTGTAAAGCCTTTAGTCTCTTACTGTAAGCGGCAAGCCAGTCTGCCACGTAAGCGAGACGACTATCCCATTGCACTGTGAGACATCCGTCTCTCATGCTTCCTCACCTAACCTATTCTGGTCTGCGTTAGGAACAACATCTACCAGCAGCCTTTGGAGAATTGGTAGCTGCTGACAGTCTAACGGGAAAACACTAAAAGACATTGAAGTAAGTCAGCATGATGTACAATAAGGAAGCAGAAAGAATCCGAGTTGCTGCTTAAATACTATATAAAGTAGCTATACCTATGTTACAGCCTCCTAGTTAATTATCACTTAGTAAGGCGGACTTGTCAGGCAGAAAGCGCCGGTAAAGGCAGCCCTCGGGCAATCGACAACTCTAGTCCAGTAATATTGTTTATCTTGTATTCGGTATGGATAGTTAAATAACTATTACTGGTAACGAGAGTATTCCACTGATTGTCCTAATTTATTATGTGGATGGCCATAGATATCATAGATGAGTATGTTTTATTTTTAGCAAGCTATGCTTTGATATGTTCAGTACTCAGTATTATGGATATGCAAGTAATCATAAATTATATTTCTATTTCTTCCCCAAGAATTTGAGCTTATCGCGAAATGAAAAGACTCCAGGTTAACTGCGACTCATTCTTGCCATTATTTGAATATGCGCGCGAGGTCCCCTCGCGAAGTTTTATTAACTCATTATACTTAAACATTAAACATTGTACAAGTAAATTTTAATTAAAAATAAATTTAGTCCCTTCGCCCCGAAGTACTCTCCGCGATTTGTAGAACAAATGGATAAATAAAATAATGATAAGTAAAGATAAAGCTCTGTTGTATTTCCTATGCCCTTTGTTATCATTACTCGGTTCCATTTCCTCTTGCTTTCTGTTTCTGTCCGTTCTCCAAGTCTCCCCTTTTTCCTGCTTCCTTTCCCTTCCTTCTACTCCTTGATCCACATTCGTTTTGCATACTTCTAAAGGTTATTACCACGTCTCACAAACCATCCAGAAAGCATCCACATAACCTGGCAAACCCTTATGCCAAATCTTGTTCTTCTGAAGGTACCCCAGCTCTTTCTCACACATATCATCACTAATTAGCACTCAGACATCCAGTACATGTCTTTCAATCACAGTAAACATCTGCCCCTTTGCACAAGCAGCATATTCAGTACATGCGTCAGTGTCTTGGCAACAGTCTGTCGCTGTAGCCAAGTCACTACAGTGTAGCTCCACGGCCTTGATTGATTCATCTGTTATGCCCAGAAAGATTTCAATACGTTATTGTCAACTCCAGGGTTTGTGGCGATGGCTTGAATAGAAGGTTTGGGGATAGCTTCGCTGACAAGTGTGTTGTATTGTCCGTCGACGATCAGGTTGGCCCATGGGTACAGATGGCTTTGTGATAGGCCTCGTACGCATTGTCGAATTTGGGTCCAGCAGCGGAAGAAACATTTTAGTAGGGTATACCAATAAGGGGAGAGCTGGTAGACATGGGGGTGAGGAGGGTTAGGAGACGGTACATTTTGCGGATAGGGTTGATGTTGTCGGGTTCGAGATCAAAGTGCATAGAGGTGTTAGGACGATTATGAATCGAGCATGGTAGATTGTCAAGTCACTTCTCCAGGATGTTGCATAAACATAGGGGGAGAGTCCCCTTCTGTACCCTGATCATCCGTAAAACACGGTTATATGGGGATTGTGGTGTCTCATGTCTGTAGGTCCCATTGTGTTCGCAATTACTTTGAGGTCATTATTACGCTCGATGTTGCTCTTGACTTGAGTGATATTTCTTATCGCAAATGGACTCAGCTTTAAGCCTCCAGATATTGACTACAGATTGCTCTAAGACACAGCTCGGGGCTCGGAGGTCTGTAGCGGGGAGATAACCTCCGCATTTTTCCAACGTATTCTGGGCTAGGTGAAGCTTGCGTCTGTGGCTCAGCATACCGTATAAAATTGGCAATGGATATTCCAATTCGATGCGGGGATTTCCACCGCGTAATCCGGCTGCTTTCTTTGCATAACGGGTCATCCGGCCGTTAGAGCCAAAATTACTATTGGGCATCTATCGTAGTCAACCACGACATCTGCAACATTTGGAAGATGAACCTCCTTGACAATGGTAGTACTTATGGGAGGATACATGAAAGGATATATGCTATCAATGATCCATAGGCAAATTACATCGAACGCCGAAGGCTCCGCAACAGCTTCAGTGAAGTCTCGTTGCTTTGTAAAGCGGTGGATGCAGATCCGTTACTTGCTGCTTGTGCCTGATTTCGGTTAGTATCTACCACATCGAACTGGTTGGGAATGACTATTTATTGTGGTTATAAGATCATCGAATGCCGTGGAATAGTGTATTATCGCATTAATTTAATATTCGTAGAGAATCCTATCCTTAAGGGGGAGAAGAAACATTCAATTTCGAATTCATTAAAACAGGAAGATGTACTTAGTTATTGAACAAAGTCCTGCCTCCTTTCACGCCTTGCCGTCAATTAGTAGCAGTCACCAATGCTTGTGGTAGCTTTGCGTCTTTATCCGGACCAGAAGAACGAGCTATCATATCAGGTTGCGGTACTGCAGAGTATTTATTACTTCGACATAGAAACCACCTACATTGGTCAGTTGTTTTGACTTCGAGTCGAGCGAAACCTAATGGAACGGTAAACCTACCATAGGGCAGCTGCCAATGCTACGACGGCCGGGAAACCAAGTCCCACGCTCAAGCCGATGATCAGTTTGTGGTTGTTGGAATGAGAGTTGTTGTGGTTGTGGTCATCATCAGTATTGGGATGGGCGCTACTAGTGGCGGTCGCAGTAGGGGGAACGTAGGATACCGGTGTTCCAGATGTAGAACCCAGTCGGCGAGCATTACTTCCAAAAGGGATAGCACTGGTCAAGGATGAGAAGGTGCTTGCAGGGTATGTGGCGTCTATGCCCGATTCGACTGTGAGAACAGTCGTCATAGTGCTCTTCACCGATGTCGTACGCTGGAGATAGACAGGGCAGTTGATGAGCCCTTGTGATGAACAGTCAACAATAGTGTACTTCGTTGAGGTAGATACTGTAGTAGTGACGAGATCGTTTCGCTGTCCAAGGGTGGCAGAGGGTGTTATAGTCGCCGGAGATTTCTTATAGCCGGCACAAAAACTATCCAGCGTTGTGTAGAACACTGGCACGGTGGTGTTGGGCGTGGGGCCCCATTGGTATGTATCAACAGCAACTGTCGCCCCCGCAGCAGCACCCACGGCAAGGGTGTACTCTGCAACCGCTTCAAAGCCGCAGTGGGCATCATTGCTAGTAGAAGCGTCGATCTGCAACAGGAAGTCGGCCACATACGCGGACACTTCCCCTCCAATCCCTGCACTAAAGCTGAGATACTCGAACACGGAGATCGAGTTTGGGGTTGATATCTGGAAACCAATACTTGTTTGGACTTGTAAGAGGGCCCGGAGGGTTCCATGGCCTTGGACGGTTACAGGGAGAAATTCCATCCGCCCACCCGGTCTACGACATGTGAATTAGTGTTGATCACCCGGGAAGAAAAGCCCACCTCGCCTAGGGCCTCAGCTTGTGAAGGAGACTGACTCACACGGTGATACTCGATACATTGTTGTTGAACAACTCCAGAGCCAGCGTTAAGCCATCTTCCAGCTTTATGTGGATTCCACTGCTAATGTCGATTTCGGCCTGGGCTATAAGAACAAGCGAAACCTGGAAAATAGCACCGGCCTCGAGACTAGATATCGATATTCCTGCTGGGGTCTCGGAAGTGAAGAGGTCTAGTGTGTAGGTCGCTCCGGCCGACAGCTGAAGATCTAGGTCCAGATAAAGCTCCAAGCTATCGAACTCGACCTGTGCATGTACTCCCGGAAATCTGTTTGCCTCATCTAGGTCAAAGTTAAGATCCAATGTCGGCCAAGCGGGGATATCGATCAATTGGAACTGGGAGACGTCCTCGAGAATATCACGGGCGGCTTCACGCGCAAAATCCTCTAGCTGAGAAAGTGCAGAATCCGTGACATTCGCAATATCTGCCTCGGCGCTATCCACGACCGTGGTGACATTGAACCCATCCTCGACTGTCAAATAGCCACCAACAGTACCATTTATATAGCAGGCTTTGCAAACAATTTCTAGGCCAGATTGCAGGCTTACTGTCCCGTTTTTTGACCCAGCAGAAGTTTCGGTGCTAGGATAAGAGCGTCAGAATTAGTGTGTGTACTTTGCATTATGGAGGAAGCGGAGTTAGTTTGATTACCTTGCTCCGATGGAAAATATAGTAGCATTTGCCCAACTCTTTGTCAACAGAGTCTGGTTCATCGAGTATGTCGTCCCTCTAGCCTCGTGTAGAGCCCGTCTAATGGCGATGGTGGCGTCTTTGTCAGCATTGGTGTGAGCTTGCAATGGGGCGTATTTTTCCCCCAATGCGCGCACGATGTATAAGAATTGCAGGCAGATGAGCCCACAGATGCTTTTGGCAATCATGCTGAAGGTGTTAAATTGCTAATCTCCATTTGCTATTTGAATTTGGAGGCAGGCGAGTGATTGTTCAAATAGTTGGCTGCTTCGCTCAGCCTTGTGCCGCACCGCAAAGGGGCAAAGGTGGTAACACAGAAAACAGTTGTATCACAGCCCCCTTATTACATTGAGAGGGCGAAATGATGGCGCAGCTTGCCTGCATTAGCGCTGTAATCGGCCGAAACGTAACTCTCGGAAGCTGAAATTGGGGTCGCGATAGCTTTCGGTGGATCGTATACGGTAGAGTATATTACCTGGTTCTGTTACTCTATCACCACTATAAGTGTGGATTATTATGGCCCAAGTTCATTGGCATCATGTGGTCTCAAAAGAAAAGAAAAAGAATAAGAAAAGATAATATGCAGACAGGCATATCCCCATTAGACTTATGGGTCGTCTGGGAAGGACTAGGACAAGACTAATTTGGCCCTAGCCCTTCCTAGCGGCGGACGGGCCTCCGTGTCGAGGTTTCCGTGCCTCCCTCTCATATCGCTTGTTTTCCTTTGGATTGGCCTCCGCTTGGGTACCTTGAAGATGAACGTATTCTTAGAGAAGACGTTCGGTCGACCGTAGACTATACGTACAGATCGTGGCAGAAGATACGCGAGGAGGTGCTAATAGAGTTGAGATAGTTTGTGCTAATCCCTAGATCTTAATATTGCTATCATCAGTATTGACCTATCAAGATAATCAAAATGAGAAAAGATAACAATAGCCTAGTGTAAAATCTGTGTGTGAGAGGTGCTATAGTGATAAACAGTGCCCCGGGTCTAAGTCAATCTTGTGTACTAGGTAGACCGGTTCTAAAGCTTCCCAGACTATCTCCAGTTTTCTCTTAGCCCGATCTACCGAAGGGCTATTCATTGTGATGATGAATATTCATCGGGAAGAGAATGGCAGCAGATCCATGTCTCTCGAAGAAAAGGGATAGTCATTATCGGGGGAACGCCGGTTGTTGGTATTCCCCGCACTTTCGGCCTGATCTCCGACCGCGGAACGGATATAGTATCACCGTTCCTACGGGAGGGATGCTCTACTAGATCTCAGGACTTTCGCACCTGCGCTGGTTGTTACTCACTCATATCAAAAAGGCTACGAACACCATGTCGGATCCAAGAAACTACAACATTCTTGTCCTCCCAGGAGATGGGATCGGTCCGGAGGTCATGGCCGAAGCCATAAAGGTCCTGCGAACCTTCAACACTGCCTCAGTCCAGTTCCATCTGCAAGAAGAACTTATTGGCGGCATATCTATCGATATCTATGGCCAATCCGTTACACAGCCCGTAAAAGATGCCGCAGTTGCTGCAGACGCCGTCCTTTTCGCCGCGGTGGGGGGTCCAAAGTGGGATCACATCAGGCGCGGACTTGACGGCCCAGAGGGGGGTCTATTACAGTTACGCAAGATCATGGATATCTATGCAAACTTGCGACCGTGCTCTGTGGAAGTTCCAAGCCGCGAAATTGCTAGGGACTTTTCACCGTTCAGACAGGAGGTGATCGAGGGGGTCGATTTTGTAGTCGTGCGAGAGAATTGTGGAGGCGCCTATTTTGGCAGAAAAGTTGAGGAGGACAATTACGGTAAACCTGAACTCGCTGAGTGGGAAGTAGAAGGTGGCTAATGTTTATTCTGTAACACGAGTGCAGCGATGGATGAGTGGGGCTATTCCACTATTGAGATTCAACGCATTGCTCGTCTCGCCGCGGAGCTTGCCCTGCGGCATGACCCACCATGGCCCGTGATCTCTCTTGATAAAGCCAATGTCTTAGCATCATCACGTCTGTGGCGCCGTGTTGTCGAGGAAACCCTTTCAATAGAATATCCACAGGTGAGGTTGATCCACCAGCTCGCGGATTCAGCATCATTGATCATGGCTACCGAGCCCCGAGTCCTCAACGGTGTGATTCTGGCGGACAATACCTTTGGCGACATGATATCGGACCAGGCGGGGTCACTAGTTGGAACACTAGGTGTCCTGCCCAGTGCTAGCTTGGATGGTCTTCCTCACCCCGACAAGAAGGAAAAGGTTCGCGGTCTATATGAACCAACACATGGCTCCGCTCCGACGTAAGTGTTCTTTGATATCCTGTTTCTCCTATTGCTAATAGCTTGAAGAATAGCCGGCAAGAACATCGCAAACCCAACTGCGATGATCCTCTGTGTGAGCCTCATGTTTCGATACTCTTTCAACATGGAGATCGAAGCGCGCCAGATTGAAGATGCTGTGCGAGCTGTTCTAGACAAGGGAATCCGCACTCCTGATCTCGGGGGCAAATCAGGCACTGAAGAGTTTGGTGACGCCGTTGTCGCTGCACTGAAAGGGAAATATCAGACCTGAAGCGTTATGCCCAGACTTGCTAGAAGTATCATATGTGTTGATTTCCTATGATATGTTAGTGGTCACTTGGACACTAGAAGAATATTGTGAGTGGCCCAATAAACATAGTTAGCAACATTTTCCTATATGTAGTCGGCCTTTGCCGTCCTGTGGTGAGCGGGCCGTCTTGGTGGACAAATGGTTGAAACATCCTTCCTTTGGGGCTGATATTGTTACAGAAGATTTCCTGAGTACCGCGACATTCGATGTCTGAATTTGTCTCTCATTCTTATTGTTTGACGTAGACAGGGGAGATAAACCGATCCGGCGGTGTGAATCACGACGATGCTTCGGCAATGTGTAGTTGTTTTGTGATGGATTATCTTTCTCCCCCTAAGCACATATGATCAAGTAAATAATTCTACAACCTTTTCAGCAGTTACCCGCAATTGTTAACGTGATTGAGATGGCATTGCATCTTCCCGGGGCTGCTATCCTTTCGACATATTACGGGTTAAGGAGAGTTATGATGAACCATGGTTTCACAGACAGGTGAAATTCAACGTCCACTTATATGGTGTTTTCGGACGTTTTATTTCTTAATCTGGAAAGCAGGTGACCTTATTAGTAACGGCACAGACGTCATGATTACTTATACCTGATTATGACCGGGGTGCCCCATCACTCTCTCTCTCTCTCTCTCTCATATGAATCCTGCAAGCTGCGTAACAACTTCTGAAAATGCAGGTGCCCTTTCCTAGTATTCCTCCTTATATCGGCAGATCGGTAAACTAATACTGGCTTCTACTAGATCCAAGCAACGAATAAGCTACCGAAGTGCGGTGGTTACCACGCATCCCACAATAACAGGAAACGAAGCAAAGCCGGGTGCTATTCATCGTACACACGATCATCTCGTTGAAATCATCGATACCCCAGTACGATATTTGTAAAATGGAGGCAAAGAAGAATCTACTCTGTGCTCAGCTCGAAGGTCGTGAATCGCCTGCTCCGGAAAGTCAGACCGCCGAACAGCAGGCGCCTTTTTGCTGGGGCAGAATTCCTCGTAATCTGCAGCAGCCAGCATATAATTCAACAGAGGGGAGCTCTGACCCCGCCAAGCCCTTTGTGTTGGAAAGCAACCCCGTCCATCCTCTGGAGGCGCCGTTGGCGGCGCAATATGCGCATGACAAAAAGCGGAGTATCTCAGAATGATATTGGTTTTATCTCCCTTTAAGTATCGTTTCACTTCGCCGCATTATCTGCTTTCATTCTTGGGTGATGTATCCCGTCTATTAAAATAGTCTTTGGGCCCCGGCTCATTCAAATTTTGTGAAGACGTATATGACTTTCTGGTGAAATACTGAGAAGGCACTTCTATAGCCGTTGGTACAACGGTGTTCAGGATCCTTGACATATTGGAATAACACTCATTAACACTCTATCTTGGGTCATGGAATAGATGTACAAGGGTTTTCTCATGTATAGCAACACACCATGCGGACCGACAAAGCGGTCTTCCCTAACGCTTTAATAAGAGAACCATCAACGCTGCTAGAATGGGTAGATAACGTGATCAGCAGATATGCTACACTATCTACCCCTGTAGCATTAATATAAGCGTACTCATGTAGAACCCCGGGGTGTCGTCAAATACCTGTTGAAAATGTAACCATGTGTCTCTACAAATATCACAATGAATAGTGATAAAGCTTTGCGGTTTCAAAACAAATATCTCTTCCAACAGCTTGAATTGATATTAGCAACAGCATCAATCAACTTGACTACGGAGATATCACCAGGTCTTTGGTAATGCACGTCCAAGATTGAAAGGTTCCAAACATGCCCTTGTGTGGAGTTGAGACCGATGTGACGAATAGGTTCAGACATATGCGATACTAGCAGCGAAGGTCCACGCCACCCATTTCTACATACCTTTTTACAGTCAGATCCATGACAAACCAAGGCGACATTTGGTCTGAATGTGCTTTTACGAAATTTATAGCACAGTGAACCTCGCAGGATGTCGGATACTAGATCTTTCCTAGACGAGTGCTTTTTCTGCTTATCATGTGCGATCTTCGAAATTGTGCACATTTTTCGCTCAACAATACAGATCAACCTCCTCCTAACATTTTAAAATATTATTCGCAGATAAGATTCGTTCCTCATTCCACTGCGCGTCTACTTCCAACCGACTACTAGTTCGAGACAAGCTTGTAGCTGGCGAACGCAGTGTCACCGTCAAGGCATCCTGGCGCAGTTACATTTTGGACGCCCTCCTCGCAATTTGAATCAGTGAAGAATTGCGCTGGGAAGAATTGTCAGGTGACATTGAAGACCTTAGGGAGATGGAAATTGACTTACCAGCATATCCTGCTACGACATAATAGGTGGTGATAGAATGAATGGCATAAGGGCCTGCAAAGGTGCCACATTCATCAAGGCCGGATTGGTACAAGCCAAGCTCACCCATGTTGTCCTCGGCACAACCAGTTTCACCCCAGAGGCGGAGTTGGATAACTCGCGTGTCGGTGGTGGGCAACGCCATTGCGGAAACGGCTAAAGCGAGAACGGAACAGATCTTGAGCGTGAACTTCATGATGGCGATGTGGTCAATAACTGGTGATAAGAAATGAAATTTTGAGATTTGGGTATCTGAGGAGGGGATCTGCAACGATCGTGGTAAAGCGGGTGGTTATGGAGGGATGTGTAGTATGTGAGTTTGATGCCGAAGACAAGAGTCAGGTTTGGCATCTGGTTGATGCTCTTTATATAGTTATTCGTTGTGATGGGTAGCGATTTCGCTCATCTATTTTTACTCCGTGGGCGGTGCAATGTCCGGATGGCAGCGGAGGTCACATGCGACAGAAGGACATACCTATTACGATGAGGATTTAGTCTACATGGTGGACTAAGCTGGGGTAGACTTGTACGTGGTTCATACTACAAGTCATACGTCTTGAGCTTAGCAGTAGAGTGGCCCGTTCGATCCCAGTTTCCTGTTCTGGCTACACGGAGAAACATGTCTTACCCAGGCCAAGGCCGTCAGCCTGACCGTCCACTCAGAACGCGGTGATGCGCGCCCCATAAGAGTGCCATCTGCAAATGACAAGGCATGAGGAGAACCATCAGGCTTCCCATCCGTCTAAAATAGCCAGTCTTCGGGATTTACCCGACTCCACCCACGACCAGAATTCGACTCAGAGACCTCCGCAGTCTGTCCACCTCTAAGCGGTCCGTTTCGAGGTCATTCGTAAAGATGGACCATGTGGTACAGTCAAACGAGGAGATGAACGTCAATACTAACAACACCACGCCAGATGGCGTTTAGGATCTACTTTACCTTCAAGGCCGCAACTTGGGCGAGTTGCCATCCCACACTACCGACAAGGCGTGGCTATGCCGAATCCAGAGGTATCATGGGTTAGGCGCTCCAATTTATGCATCTCACTTCATTTTCGCTACTCATCATACCCTCGCCCAAAATAGATCCGTTGAGCCCTGGACGCCTGTTAGGCCCCCTGTGTAGTAAGTCAAGAAATCGTGCAGGTTGAATGACTAGACTCAGTCACGCACAAACGACTTATGTTACTATCGCATAATTCTCCTCGCACAACTAAATACGTTACAACTCAAGATTGTCTGTGGAAATTAGAGTGATAAGGGTTCTGTGCAGTGGAGTTTCCACCCAAGACCCGGCAGTCATCTCACTGATAATAACATCAATGAATAATGCAACCAATCGAGAAGGTTACAAGACGCAGGGTGATTTCATGTCTTGTTTTCAGCCAGCAGGTGGTTCATAGACATGGTCTACTACCCTTTCCGGCTCTAGCATCCATCAACCCAGCTGGGCTCTGCATTATTCTTCATCGGTCATTAACCGGCGCGCCCTCAACTACCATGATACAACAACTACAGCCGCTCCCAAGAGCGATTGCTGCGCTACGGTTGTTACCCAGACTGGTTGATGGAGGTGGGTGGTAGTTTGACTGCTGTCTTTCACTCCCGGTCAGAAAAAGTCGGTCGGCCCGTCTCTCCCATGCCACTAGTATAACCTCGAGGTTAGCGACCCCGATGAATGCAGTAAATAAGGGCCGATAACAAGCGACTGTCTGTCATCTTCCGCAAAAGGTTCTAGAGAGAACAATATAGCTTACAATCTCACCGAGAAGGGCCGAGTGTAGCTTATGGGCCGAATCTGGATAATCGCCGAGCAGTCGCATAATCGCCGGTCCCTGCACAAAATCGACGTCACCAGCATTCTGTAAAAAGAGCTGTTGTCTTTTTTGTAATCGAAAAAATCGTGTTCGGGAGTCTCACACCATGACAGTCATCGCTTCATCCCCCATCCAGTCGGACCAAACCCAACCGTGGCAGGAGATTGATCGGCTGGTGGAGAAATATTCCGCGCACCCAGATACACTCGATCCCAAGCTCGAAAAAGCTGTGGTACTTCTAACAGGAAGTTCTGGAAGCTTGGGCTCGCACTGTCTGGCACAGCTAGTGCAGTCCAATCAGGTGAGCGAGGTTATTTGTCTCCTCCGAAATAGTCAAAGTCCTAGCCCCTCCGTCAGCCCGGAGGCCTATCGCCACCAGCTACAGGAGAAGAAGATATTCCTCTCCGAAGTCGAATGGTCTAAAGTTACCCTCATCACTTGTGTTCCCACGGACTCCCGCCTGGGTCTTGACGCAAGCGAGTATCGGGACGTCCAGCGTCGTATCACTCATGTTATACACGCTGCCTGGCCCATGGACTTCCGTCCAGGCTTATCGTCACTCTGCGATCAGTTCCAATTCCTCCGCCATCTCCTGATTCTGGCCTCAAGCGGGGGCGTGCGCCGGCGATTCCTCTTCGTCTCTTCCATCGCGGCGGTGGCCCAACGTGGGCTCACTCCAGCCCATGCCGGGGAATTAATCGAGGAGGCCTCCATGGTCACCCAGAAATCTGCTACCGGACTGGGATATGCCGATGGGAAGATCGTTTGCGAGAAGATCCTCGAACGGGCGGCAGCCACGTATCCGGACGAGCTGGAGATCGCCATAGTCCGAGGAGGGCCTATCGTAGGATCTCGGGCCACGGGCATTTGGACCACCAAGGAGGTGGTGCCGATGATGTTGCGGTCGTCGTTGAGCATTGGAAAGCTGCCCCAGCTGCGAGGGGTAAGTTGCACTCGGAATTCCAATTGCCATGGGAAATTCAATCGCTGACGTGATGTATAAACAGACGCTATCGTGGATGCCTGTTGACGATGCGGCCGCCGTCTTTTGCGAGATTCTTCTTGCGCCGCATCCGCTGGCGCCGGTCTATCAGGTGGAGAATCCCATCCGTCAGGCATGGAGCGATCTGTTGGACACCGTGGGCCCTGTTCTGGGGCTGACCACGCGAATCCCCTTCGACGAGTGGCTGGCTGCTGTGGTGGAAGCCGCCGAGACGGAGGGCTCCACACGCAGGTACCCCGTGTTGAAGCTGAAGGCATTTTTTGCGCGGTTGTTCCAACCTGCCGTGTGTGGGCATGTTATCCTGGCCACTGATCGCTCCCGGGCCTGTTCGCCCACTCTGCGCCAGATGAGGGCCGTGGAGGATGAAGTGGTACTGAAGTTTGTGCAGCACTGGAAGGACATTGGCTATTTTGCGTAAGGAGCACTGTACTCTTGTTATACCTGTGGCTTAGGCCGATCACCGCACTTCAGAGACGAGAGAATTACGCATTAACCCCTGACCTGTTATTCCTTTGAATTTCCACACTTTTACTCCTCCCAAGTATGGCTATTGCACCTTGTGTATAAAGACTCAGTAAAGGGTGCCAACAACTGTACGTAATCCAACCACCGACTGCTTTGCCGAATTGCCGACCGTGGGCTGCGCCGGATAGACTGTGCCTGAACGGGCTTCGCAGCATAACTTCGTCTTTTATTTTCTATTTTCGCGGACCACCAGTGTGTGGTTTGTAATCCTTATCAATTTCATAACCCCAGCGATATTAACAGATTTGCCAAGTCAAATACTATTGGTAATACTGCTACCGAGCACGGATTTGAACGAGTCGTAGGCGGATAGATCCCAACTAGTACTTGAACCATATATATTTCAAAAGTCACAACGAGTAAGAGTACGGAAGTGTCGGTCGGGATATTGGTATTATTATTGTTTATCGACACAAACAGTAGTACTGTAGATGAAAACAGATTAATGAAGTAATAGAAACAGAACCATTTAAGTTGTGTGGCAGCAGATCTAAATTTCGACAAGTCGAGCACCACCGCGTAATGAACCACTGGTGCGTGTCAAATCCGCGGTCGGAAAGACAGCATGGGACCCTGACCCCCGGCCGTAACATGATCCGCCACCACATACTCAATATCCTTGGCTTCGCTGTCATTTCGATCCAGCCTCCGCATGTCAAATTCCCAGAATAGACGGGCCATGGTGAGCATCACCTGCGCCAGCGCCAACGGTTTACCGATACAGCTCCGGGCCCCAATCGAGAAGGGCATGTACGCGCGGCCGTCGACTTCCTGAGTCCCCGATCCCTTCAGCCACCGGTCAGGATTGAACTGAAAGGGCTTTGGCCACTCGGTGATGCGGTGGTGAATGCTGTAGATTCCTACCCCGACCTCACAGCCCGGGGGAAGCCAGTGTCCATCGATGGAGGCGCCTCCGTCCTCAACTTCCCGCCAGAGAGCACTGGCTGCCGGCGGCGAGAGGCGTAAGGCTTCATCAACGCAGGCCCGCAGAAACACACACAAATTCAAGGTTGGTCCCAAGCGGATATCTGTCAGCGAGGCAAATGCCGACCGTACCTCGTCTGTTACCCGGCGATGACATTCAGAAGAGCCGGTCACGTAGTGGCATACAGCAGCCATGGTGGTTGATGACGTATCAGATCCTGACCTTTCGTCAGCATGGTAGCACTGGCCGCGATAGCAAAGGGTGGCCGAGGGTCACCGACCGGCAATAATAAAGGTGGCAGTCTCTGTGCTCAATTCCGTCACGCCCAGACCCTCGCCTGTGGCAGGGTCCTTGCATTGCTGTAAGAAGGCAAACAGGTCCCCACCCTTGTCAAGGGCACGCAGCCGCGTCCCCAGGAGTTCTCGGATAAATCGAACAAATTGCCTGCGACCAGCGATGGACGAGGGAAATAATCGGCCGTCCAGGTTACCTGTCGCCAGTTCTTGCGCTTGCAGAAGCACGCTGAGTCGAATGTTCGACGCGGAGATTGCCTCAATCACATAGCGATATTTCGACGATCGGAGAGTGTCGAAGTCCGAGTCGAAAGAAACCGAGGTCATCGTATCAAAAGCGAGGCGGTCAACTATGACGACTGTTAGCTACGCTGTCATATTTCAGGGTTGACAGGAGACTTGCAGGTGCGTGCCATGTCAAGAGGCGTTGTCCATCCATTCTCCATTGAAGAGGGCGTCGTGATCAAGCATTCGCGTATGACCTGGGATAGTCGATCAAGCTGAGAGACGATCCTGGGCTGCCACGATTCAAGACTGCGGGCGGAGAATCCCTGGCTCAGAACCCGGCGTCGGCGGCTATGCTGGATTTTATCTTGCATCGTGAGGGTATTAGGTGCCTGTTGCGCGAGCACCCGGTAGTTCACGTATTTCTTGACGGGCGCGCGATGACCGTATATATCTTGGACAGCCCCTGCCGTGTTGATTAGTAGCCGGTTGGGCGCATAGCGCACATGGTCCCCTGTTCTAATGTTAGGCGGAGCTAAAGTTCACATCCTGTGGTGTAGGGAGAATTACCATATCGCTGGTGGCAGCGGTAGATGTCAATATGAATGTCCCCTTTCCACGCATGATACGCGGAATATAGATTGCTGAACCGCGCAAGGAGAGGACCTGGGTATCTGGCCAGAGGATGGAAGACCCCCAGATACAGGGCCCGCGTTAAAACCTGGCCTCCCCAATGCCCGTTAGATTGGCGTCGGTCTTGAAGGAGTTTATTCGGGTCTGATAGATGCACTTACAAGTAATATGAAACCAACCAGCAATGCAATACCTATATTTCCCGCTTCACCTACGCCATTAAACACCTTGAAAATCATGTTTGGTGAAATTGGGTGCTTGAGGTCTGGAAATCACCTATGTTGTTGACGCTCAGTATGCTTTAGTAAGAAATTGAATGAAAACAAAGTAAAGTTCTGGAGGTTCCTTCACTTGACTTGGGCCAGTGTGGATTGACTGTGAAAGTTATTTCGTCTTAGTAATTCACAGTGTCGGACCCAGGTTGGGCTGCGAATTGGACATGAAGTTGACTTGCGGTCACAGACAACCTGGATTATGCACCGAGGTAGTTTGCATCCGCTGGGTCGGCGTATATCTTCTGCGGAGTGAAGGTCGGCGACTATCCCCATGTAAGTCAGACAGATCGGCGTTATTGAAGTGATGACCGTCTATCCGATGTCACATTCGGCCCATAATTGTGCTGGTCTGCGGGATTAGGAACAGAACCCGGTTTCTATATTGCAACCCTAACCTGTTCCAACTTGCAACAGGGCTCGGTCGATATGGCCCGTGCCTCCTCTCGCACTATCTTCATGTTTTATTACATCAAGTGCTGAACCCCATCACTGTATGGACAGAGCAAAAAATCAATCTTCACTTCAGTAGTTTCATTCAATCATCATTGAACAGCCACAATTTCGAGTACGACCTAATGGGGATCACGGTTGATGAACAGAACCATGCTTCACGCTCACACGAGCCTATCGCCATCGTGGGCATGGCCATGCGGCTGCCTGGCAGAGTAATCGACAGCGAATCCTTTTGGCGGATGCTAATCGAGAAGCGAAGTGGGCTTTGTGACGTGCCGAAGGACCGGTATCACCTGGACGCCTTCCACGATCCGCATGGCAAGCCGGGAACGGTGCGCATGCGACAGGGCTACTTTCTCGACGACGTTGATGTCCGCCAATTTGATAGCAATGTCTTTTCTAGCCCCAAGAAAGAGCTAGAACGACTGGATCCGCAGCAGCGCCAGCTCCTCGAAGTCTCGTATGAGTGCCTAGAGAATGCGGGATGCACCCTGTGGCGGGGTCGAAAGATCGGCTGCTACGTCGGCGTGTTTGGCCAGGACTGGTTGGACTTGAATGCAAAGGAGACACAGCATATGGGTGCCTATCGCGTTACGGGCTATGATGACTTTGTGCTGGGGAATCGTATTTCGTACGAATTTGATCTCCGCGGCCCTAGGTAGGCACATTCCTTTTTGTCATACTATCCATCAACTAAAGTGCGAAACTAATGAGTACCAAGCATGACCATAAAGACGGGATGCTCCTCATCATTGGTATGCCTCGACCTCGCCTGTAAGGCGCTGCGCGACGGTGACTGTGAGGGTGCATTGGTTGGTGGAACAAGCTTAATCTTTTCGCCTACCATGAGCCTGGCACTTAGTGATCAGGGTGTGCTATCGCCGACTGGAACGTGCAAGACCTTTGATGCGTCTGCCGATGGTTACGGGCGTGGTGAAGCAATTAATGCTATCTACATTAAGACCTTACGACAGGCCATACAGGACGGAGATCCCATCAGGGCAGTCATCCGAGGTACGAGCGTTAACTGTGACGGCCAGACCCAAGGAATGCTCACCCCAAGCCCAACCGCGCAAGAGGTACTGATGCGCCGTGCATACGAGATGGCTGGTATTACTGACCTCGGCGAGACTGCCATGATCGAATGCCACGGTACCGGCACCTCGGTGGGGGATCCTCTCGAGACCACCGCTGTGGCCAAGTGCTTTGGCGAGACTGGTATAATCATTACCTCGGTATGAACTGACCTTTGTGCATTCCAAAGGGACCAGTGGGAGACTGATCAAAATTTGTCTGGACCAGGTCAAACCCAATGTCGGCCACTCCGAAGGGGCGGCCGGCTTGACGAGTCTCATCAAAGGAGTTTTGGCACTGGAACACCGTCAAGTGCCGCCTAACATCCACTTTTCCGAACCAAATCCCGACAGTGAGTGTGCCTCCAGCTTCATTGTCCAGTATGCGCCTAATTCGTGGCCTACTATCAGTCCCTTTCAAGACCGGCAAGCTGCACGTCCCTGTGGAGGTTGAGCCATGGCCTGCGGACCGTGCCGAGCGAGTCAGCGTCAATTCCTTCGGCATCGGCGGTGTCAATGCTCATGTAGGAGGCCCTGTGCCCTTATCTGCTAGCGAATATTTCCTCATACGCTCCAGGTTATTCTTGAATCCCCCCGTCAATCCGGGATCATGGATCAAATGTCACGCCCCGACCCTGTTCCTGGGGACGAGAACGCCCATTTGCTGCTCTTCTCCGCCCACAGCGCAGTTTCCCTGCAGACTTCCATCGCCGCCCATCAAGCGTACATTGAGCAAGGTCATGCCCCCTTGCAGGATGTGGCATACACGCTCGCCAATCGCCGGTCCCATCACACCTATCGCGCTTATGCGGTTACAGACGACCAAAAGTCCTGGAATGTGTCGACAGCGGAAGCTGTCAGTTTGCCCCCACGCATTGTGTGGGTATTCACGGGACAGGGAGCACAATGGCCGCAGATGGGGGCAGAGCTTCTGGAGGTAAATGCCACCTTTCGGGACACAATTCAGAAGTTGGACCGATTTTTACGCACACTACCCAGTCCACCGCCATGGACCATCGAAGGTGAGAAGCACGTCCAAGGCTAAACTTGGATAAAGGCTGATGCTAGATTCAGCCGAGCTACGCAAGCCAGACAGGATCAGTCGAATCCACGAAGCCGTCATGGGCCACCCCCTGTCCATTGCCCTCCAGATTGGGCTTATTGATGTGCTGCGGTCCTGGGGCATCGTCCCCACGGCCGTGCTGGGTCACTCATCGGGGGAGATGGCAGCTGCATATGCCTCCGGTGCCATCACTGCCGAGGAGGCGATGGCTGCAGCCACCTTCCGAGGCGCGAGCCACGAGACCTCCTCGCGCAAAGGAGCCATGGCGGCTATCGGCCTGGGTCCCAAAGAAGTGCGGCCCCTACTCCAACAAGGAGTTGTGATTGCTTGTGAAAACAGTCATCAGAGCGTGACGATCTCAGGAGACACCGAACGCGTCGAGGAGGTGGTGCGTCGTATTCAAGAGGAGCAACCGGGGACTTTTGCTCGGTTCCTACGCGTGGAGAAGGCTTTCCATTCACGTGAGTATACCCCCAACCCCTGACTACCATGTATAACTAGACGCTCACCTAATGTTAGACCATATGCAGGAGTATGGACCTCACTACGAAGAGCATCTCCAGCCATTTCTTCAAAGCAGGTGCCCCGGGATCCCATTCTACTCGACGGTCACGGGCGACAGGTTAACGGGAGATGGCTTAGGCGCCACTTACTGGCGTCAGAATATGGAAAGCCCGGTGCTGTTTAATGCATGCGTCCGCTCCGTCTTACGGGACCACCCTGAAAAGCTTGTTTTCATCGAAATTGGACCGCACCCTGCGCTTAAAGGCCCTATCCGACAGATCCTTCACGACGTCCAACGCCCCGACGTCGGGCACGTGGGAACCCTCCAGCGATCACAACAATGTCAGGAAAGCCTCCTGCAGTGTGCAGGCATGCTGTTTCAGTACAATGTTTCTCTTGACCTCGCAAAGGTCTGCCCCCCGGGTCAGTGTGTCACAAACCTACCCCGTTATGCCTGGCAGAAAGACGTGTCCCACTGGGCCGAGCCACGCTTAGCCCGCGACTGGCGCTTTCGAGCATATCCGCCGCACGAACTTCTGGGAAGCCGGGTAATTGAAATGGGCCATGAGCCGTCGTGGAGGAATTTACTGGCCTTGGAACACCTTCCTTGGCTGGAAGGCCATCGCGTCAGTGATCACACCGTTTTTCCTGCCGCAGGTTATGTTTCTATGATCGGGGAGGCTCTGCTTCAGTTGGAAGGAGAACCCGTTTACTCGCTTAGAAACATCAGCATCTGTACAGCATTGACATTGCAAACGGAAAGGTCGACGGAGGTCCTGACAAGTCTCCACCCACTATCACTGGACTCATCGGAGGCGTCTCCATGGTATTCATTCAGCATTAGCTCCTTTGACGGAACCCGCTGGGTGCGAAACTGCTACGGTGAGGCTAGAGCGTCCGTGGATAAATCTGTAGCTAGGAACGTCGACGAGTCAGCGGTACCATTGCCGCGTCCAGTTGATCAAAGAACCTGGTACAATGTCCTGCGGCAGGTGGGCTTGGATTACACGGGGGCATTCCGTGGTCTGCGATCCATCTCAGCTGCGACAGTGGATAACAGAGCCACTGCGACCGTCCCGTGGCAGAACATCCACGGAAGTGCACATTATGCGGTCCATCCCGGAATGATCGACCAGTGCTTCCAGTTATTCACCGTGTCTGTCTGTCGCGGTCAGGCACGGAAATGCCGTCATCCCGCCGTCCCAACTTTCATCGAAGAAATGGTCGTTATTCCCACCAAGGGTAGTGTAGAGGTGGATTCCCATATTCCTACATCTGAGGGAGGATCATATGTTGGCGAGCTTGTTGCCCATTCAGCAGGCGAGCTTGTCCTGTCGGTGAAAGGGTTCAAGGCTTCTGCCCTCACTGCAGAGAGTGCTGTCTCGGAAGATGTACCGCTAATAACCCAGTTGGAGTGGAAACGAGACGCCGACTTCGCTGATTTGTCGGAATTGATGTACCCCCGTAGGCACTGTCCTTCTGAATGGGCCCTACTGGAGGAACTTGTTCTTTTGTGTATGCTGGAGCATCGGGGGCAGTTACAACTCGACGAGCAGACCCCCGAGCATCTCCGGGTGTTCTTTGCATGGCAAAAGACTCAGCTAGACCGATACAGGAGAGGGTCGAACATTTTGGTGCCTGCAGATCTCGAGCTCGAAAGCATGAGCCGTGCAAATCGTCTGGCTCGCGTGGATGCCCTAGTGACCCAAGTCAAGGCCTCGCCATATGCAGTCTTCGCCACCGCGGTACATCGCCTTTTCATGGCCGCACCAACTATCTTCACCGGTGAAACACATCCCCTACAGGTCCTCCGGCAAGACCAAATTTTTGAGGAGTTTTGTGCTGTCACGGACTCTCTAGAATACGCAGATGCGGTGGCGCTCTTAGGTCATAGCAACCCCGTCATGCGTGTCCTGGAGGTCGGCGCTGGGACAGGCGGAACTACCCGGAAGATCCTCCAGGCACTTACCTCGTCCAATGGCGAGCGCTTGTACAGCAGCTATACCTATAGCGATGTTTCACCAGGATTCTTGACGACAGCACAGGAGCAGTTTGCCGACCGCGAAGGCATGCTATATGCTGTATTTGATATCACGCAAGACCCTGCAACTCAGGGCCTCGAGCTGGGGCAGTACGACTTAATCGTTGCTAGTAATGTAAGTGATGTTAACACTCAGTAGCTACGATATGTCGGGTATGAGTGTTTACCAAAGTTAGGTCGTGCATGCCACGCCGTGTTTGCAGACCTCTCTTCGACACCTCCGCAGTTTGCTGAGCCCCCGAGGTCGTCTCTTCTTGCATGAGCTCTGTCCTGGTGAGAGGACCTCTCAGACCGCAAACTGTAGTGTGACTTGAGAGCTAATAATGAACAGAGGCCAAGTTTTATGATTATGTTATGGTAGCTGTCCTCCCAACTTTCCAGCCTGCAGATCCCCCGCTCCACCGGTGTCAATCTGTCTCGATAGCTAATAGTAGGTATATATAGGGGTATTTACCTGGGTGGTGGCTTGGACGGGCGGAAAATCGCCTCGATCAGCCATATGTTTCACCTGACCGATGGACCCAGGAACTGATTGCCGCAGGCTTTGAGGAGCCCGATGCAGTTGTGCTTGATGGGGTTGTTCCATATCATAGCAACGCAGGCATGATCGTTTCAACGGCCTGTCCGCGAACAATTCCCTCTAGGGTGACTCTGTTGTGTTACACCCCAACAGGACCATACGTGGAAGGTCTTATTCATCTCCTACATGACCTGAAAATCTGCGTGGACATCTGCACCCTAGGCGAGCCTCTGGCCCCCACGCAGGATGTAATATCTGTACTAGACCTGCAAGAGCCTACAATCCACGGCATGTCAGAGACAACGTTCAAGGTAATACTGGGATATTTACAAACACTCAAGGAGAAGATGCTGTGGGTCACCCGTGCGTCACAGGTGAAATGCAAAGATCCCAGAGCTTCCATGATACTGGGACTGGCGCGCACCGCCCGCAATGAGTTGTCGGCTAGGCTGATGACGGTGGAGGTGGACAACGTGACTCCGAGCTCAACTGCAGCGCATTTAACGATCAAAATCTTTCTCCGTGGTCCTCTTTCCGACCTTGCGCCTGACTCCATGAGTCCGGATTGGGAATATGCTATCGTTGACGGGGAGGTTCTGGTGCCCCGTGCACATTGGACTAATATTTCCGAGGCCTTTTCGCATCTCCGCACCAGAGCCCCCTCGACGCGGAAACGGCTCGCCATTGAGACGCCGGGCTTGCTTCATACTCTAGGGTGGACGGAGAATGAGATTGACAGCTTGGCAGACGACGAGGTCCTCGTTGAGACCAGAGCAGTCGGCTTGAACTTTCGTGTACGCCGCTTGTCCCCCTGGGTATTTAAGTGGCCCAATTGCTGACATCTGATACAGGATGTGCTGATCGGTCTGGGGGTGCTTGACAACAGCGCTAGAGAGGTGGGACTTGAAGGTGCTGGCATTATACGAGCCGTCGGTGCCCAGGTCGAAACTCTCTCTGTCGGTGACCATGTAATGTATATGTCCAGTGGGTGCTTCGCTACCCATGTAACTTTACCAGAGGCTATCTGCGTCCGAATGGATGGGAATATGTCCTTTGAGATGGCGGCATCGCTGCCGTGTGTATTCGCTACAGCTGCCATGGCTTTGGTGGATAAGGCAAGATTAGGGAAGGGCCAGGTACGTTCATTTCCCAACGGGACACCTGCAGACTCCCTGACGACTTCAATTCTCAGTCCGTTCTGATCCATTCTGCGTGCGGTGGAGTCGGCTTGGCTGCGATTCAAATCGCCCAGATGGTAGGAGCACAGGTACGTGCCATCAATCGCATGGCTGGAGCATCGCTAAAGGACACAGATATACTGCACCGTGGGGAGTGAGGAAAAGGCACAGTATCTGATCGACCATTATCACATTCCGCGCGAGAACATCTTTCATTCCCGAGATGCATCCTTCCAGCGGGACATCATGACGGCCACCAGAAATCGTGGTGTTGATGTGGTGCTCAATTCCTTGTCCGGGGAGCTATTGCTGGCCTCATGGAAATGTGTTGCCGAGTTTGGGACTATGGTCGAGATCGGCAAACGAGACTTCCGCCGCCGTGCGAAGCTTTCCATGGAGGCCTTCGAGGCCAATCGAACATTTGTTGGGCTTGACCTTTGGCAGCTATCTCAACAAAGGCCCAGGCAAGCCGCTGAGTAAGTGTACCACTTCCAAAGCACCGTGCGCTGCTACTGACAAGTTCACTAGGCTCCTAGAGCGTTGTGCGGACTGGATACGGTCTGGGGCCATCTCCTTAGATGCCCCGGCCAACATCTTCCCGGCCAACCGAATCCAAGATGCCTTCAGATTCATGCAGGCAGGTCGACACATTGGGAAAATTATCATTACTATGCCTGATGACCCCATTGATCTTGGATCAGTGCCTGGGAAACCCTCCATCACTCTGCGGCCCGACCGCAGCTACCTTCTTGTGGGTGGGCTAGGGGGGCTGGGCCGCGCGGTAGCTTCCTGGATGGTCGAGCTCGGGGCCCGACATCTCATCTTCCTCTCCCGCTCTGCCGGTAAGCTCCCTGAGACTGTCCAGTTTGCAGCTGAGCTTCGATCCCAGGGTTGTGAGGTCCAATTGATTACAGGCAGCGTATCTGAGACAGATGATGTCCATAATGCAGTTAATGCAGCGACTATGCCAGTGGCTGGCGTCATAAATATGTCGATGATCTTAAAGGTATGTGACTCTCGATATTTGTGAGAAGCCGACTAGCTCTGACCCCATTCGCTAGGATGTATCACTGGCGGACATGAACTTCTCCGACTGGACTAGCGTGGTGGAACCCAAGGTTCAGGGGACCTGGAATTTGCACCATGCCACCTCTGCTGACCTGGACTTCTTCATTCTATTCTCTTCGTATAGTGGGATTGCTGGTCAATGGGGACAGGCAAACTATGCGGCCGCCAACACCTTTCTTGATGCTTTTGTGCAATATCGACATGGAAAGGGCCTGCCAGCATCAGTGATAGATGTCGGCGTTATGGGTGAGGTGGGTTTTGTATCACAGAATGAGGCTCTATTCGACCGCTTCGCGAAGAGTGGTATGCATATCTTGAAGGAGCAGGATCTTCTGGATGCAATGGTTCTCGCCATCGCACGATCAGCTCCTGAACCCACCGGAGCCCAGGCTGGGACGTACTGCAATGCCAGTCAGATTCTACTCGGTGTACACACTACCATTCCCATATCGACCCGCTCCAGCCGAGTAGCCTGGAAGAACGATATTCGGATGAGCATCTATCATAATATCCATGGGGGCAGCGAGGTATCCCCGGCTGGAACCTCAGACCACAACAGCCTCCGAGGATTCCTTGCTGCATGTGGCTCTCGACCCGAGATCCTGGAAGAGGAAGAAGCCACAACAAGGATTGCGCAGGCATTGGGCTTGGCGCTAGCAAACTTTCTCCTGCGCGATGCTCATGCCATCAGTGCCCACGACTCCCTTCCGGCGCTAGGGGTCGACTCTCTTGTGGCCATGGAGGTCCGAAACTGGATTCGGCAGCAGCTCGATGTGGATGTCAGTGTCTTCGTGCTCCTGCAAAGCCTGTCGCTACTGCATGTAGCTGATCACCTTCGCCTGGCTCTTGTTGCTCGCCTCGCGGCCAACGGGCCTACCGCTGTCGAGGCATGGTAGATCCACCACGTAGCCCCGATGCAGCCGATTGGTAATCCCAAACCCTCGTGCGCCGAACTTGCCCCAGACCGTGGGCTCTGCCGGTACGGGACACTGTACACCTTCTAGGTGCCACCTTCGGAGTAGAAGTAGCGTTGATGCGCAGAATGGCACGGGGAGAATAGGATGGTGGCTTGGTACTTGGGGGTGCAAAGGGATTCACCTTCGTCGGGCCAGTAGACTTGTGAGCCCCACAGGAAATATCCATTTATTAATATGCATAAAGGCGCTCAGACGACCACGTACGTCTTTTTCAAGTCGAAGTTACACGGAAGGTATATGTGACAGGGCCCGTGGACGATAGTGTTCACCGATTCCCATTCAATAGTCAACAATACCATTTAATATCCTACAACCTGATTGCATAGTGGTCTGTTCGATTTCGTACGATTGTTTGTCATTAGTGCAAGAACTCAACATCCAGTGGGCGTGTAGGTCAGCCTCCTGGTTGGCATAACCGTTCGTGATCCCACCATTGACTATGTCCAATTATCCTAAATTGGGTGGTAGGCCGTGTGTTTGCCATCGGTCCCCGGAGAAAACTTCCGGTGGCTGGGGCCTGTGGGAGGGACGAAGACGTTCCTATTGGACGTATGAATCAAATAGTTCTCTGCGCTAAACCTCGCCGCTGGCGAATCCTTGCGACCGGCGAGGGTGAAGACTTGTAGGGATCATTGCCCTTATCCACCACACATGAAGAAATTCCGCACCCACGGCCAATATTGACTCCGATCGATAGCCCGTGTTAGCTCTGCAGCTGTCACAGGGATGATCCTTTCCCTGGCCCCAACCCGACAACCCCCGCCAACGCACGAGCAATCGGCGATCGACAAATGGTAAATATGAAGTTGGTCCTGTGTCGAGATCGGTACCACCAGATCCCGAGCCTACCATGTTGGAACAACCCCCCTTCGCTTACTGCACAGATCTCGACCCGAAACCCCGTTCCTGGCCGTCTAAAATCGATCATAGATCTGGATCCGGATGGTATCCTTTACTAGCGCCGCGTTGCCACCAATCTCCACCCTTTCAGCTGTGCTGTTGCTCAATGCACCCTAGCACCCCGCCCTTTACTCCATCCGCTGGTCCGGATAGTACCCTTTTGGGTAGTCAGAAGTCTGACCAGACTTAGGAAGAAGCCATCCACGTCCGTGATTGGAGGGTGGGCTTACCAGGCTCTAGGTCATTGCGCAGTGTTAGTGCGGTCATGGGGTGGCACCTGGGAGGACATTGCTTCACAGGTAGCCAATACCTGCCCATTGCAAACGAGCGATGCAACATTCCACGATCTCCCTTCTTCAGTCAAGGCTGCGTGCGGCCAGCACATCTTATCTACAAGGTGAGACAGGTTTTCTGCCGTCGACGGTAAGCCGATGAGTACCAAGTTAGGTTGGAAGGTGAGTATAAATAAACGGCCATTGGGTTTCATTGTTGCAATGGCCATGTGCCGCTGAACATGTCCAACTTTCCAGACTCCCTTTCACGTGGCACAATGCGCTCCAGGAGGCTGCGTCTAGCCTGTGATACCTGCCACAGGGCGAAAATACGATGCACCGGCGGTAGCCCCTGTAAGAAGTGTGAGAACGCGTGCGTCAATCCCCAGCACCAAAGGCCAACTGGTCCGGCGAAGTCCCAATTCTAAATCATCGAGGGATAGCAATGTCCCGTGCCAGTACAGCTACACCCAAAAGCTTGGCAAACCCAAGGGCAGCCGGAACAAGAGGACACTTGCTAGGCTGAACGCATCCAGCAGTGGGCGACAGGGGCCAGCAAGGACCCCGGACAGACTGCTACCATTATCGTTGCCAGTTTCAAATACCCCTTCTCCAACAATTGCCGAGACCCCTTCGAGGGCTTTACTAGATTATCAGCCATTGGAGGCCGATCTCGAATGTCCCTGGGTAGACCCTTTCTTCGATCTCGATGCTACAGTGTATCCTCCACCACCGGATGGAGGCCTGTGTCAGGTGAGTTCGCCGTGTCTCGCAATCTGAAAATCCCAGTCAAACAGTAATGACAGTCCTTCAGCTCGAACCCACCTACCCAACCTTGGAAAACGGTATGTTTCTCTCACGGGTGAAATGCAAAATTACCACAGGCTCCTGTCGATTGGGACTGACGTACCACCACCTGGTCTCCAGGAACCGAAAACGGGCAGTCCAATGAAATTAACACATTTGATTCCACACAGCAGCATCCAGACACAAGGCTCACATCCCCAATCGGTACTACTTTCAACGACGACATATATAAAGTTGACGTTCAACCGCGTGTGGTTACACAGAAGCCGAATGCTACAACCCCCAGCCACATTCCGGCTTCTTACCCTCCCAACAGGGCACCCTTCGGCACTTCTATCACTTCATCCCTCCTCTTTGAAAATCCCAGCCCAATCCAGCGCGAAGGGGGAACCTCATGTTCCTGCCTCCGGCTGCTAACAGAACAACTCTATCTCCTCCATTCTACGGAACGCAACAACCTTGCCATACCGTTCGATCGGGTTCTATCAATGGCTTCAACGTTCATTGGCTGTGCTGACGGTGTCCTACACTGTGTGCTGTGCCGACTTGACAGCACGGTATTGCGACTAATCATGACGGCGCTCCAGACAATTTTCAGCTGGGTTTATATGGGTTATAGCGAGCAGCCCGGGTCCCCCAAACTGCCCCCCATTCACTTTGGCGATTGGAGGGTTCCGGAGCAGGGTGGGGAAATGGTGAAGCTGCTGCTTACAAAGCACATGCTATCCCTCTGTCGCTCTGTGGTTCGTATCCTACAGCTCCGGGTGGATGAGATGCATCTACTTGCCAAAGTCCAAACGAGGTTTCATTGTATGGACACTGCAAGCATGAGCGTTCTAGCAGAACGACTATCTAGCTCACTGTCGGATGTTATTCACCTGGTTCAGCATTGCGGCAAGGGGAAGGATGTGATCCCCGACTCGCCGTCATCTCAAAAGAGCCCTGAAAAAAGTGAAACTGTCGCAGAGTCGGGTTAGGCGCGGACGGTTGCTGCGTGACGAGAAAGTGTACGCCTTCGAGGCCTCTTCTTGACATCCGTTCGCTATCGTACGCGATGGATGGCTTACCCTTAACTATATAATCTGTTTAGCGTGGCGTCGATCAGAGTGGCATGTTTTGAGTTAAACTTTAGAAGTGGTGCATTCTTCGCGCGTTGATGGTTCAAGTGCTCAGCTTAGCCAAGAAATCACCTTCAGAATCAAATGTCTTAGATCCCTTTAACCGTTTCAGGTGAAAATTACAACTTATTTTCCTCGTCCACCTAAACGTCTGCTGGACCTACTATTGCAATCTTTCCGTATGACTCCCTTGTATTATCTAGCCAATCCAGGCACACTGGTACGCAGAACGTCCTCTGCAATTACTTTTATTCTTGAGAATATATGTTTGTCATACACTATCTCGCACGGCGGCTAATATACCAACAGTGTTGGGATATAGAAACACAGCGACAACTTGGTAGATCGGTTAGATTAGTATGTTTTACAATTCCTCTTGTGCTCCAGACTTTAGTATCCGTTTAAATGGTTGATTTCTATCCCGAACTAAGGTGGATTTCCAAGATGGGTCTGATTACAATGAGTTCCGAATTAATTACACATAAAATTATCTTCTCCCCAACACAATATGATTACCTAATAGGTGCTGCACAAGTGACGTCATTGTTGGTTGTGGTCTCGAGCCCGGAGTACATAGTTATCCTTAACTTTGGTGATCACCTCTCGGACAGTAGGGAGTATCATATTTCCTCGTTTGCGGGTTCCTTTCGTCCTGAGAGTGCGAATTACAGGAAGACGAGCATTCTACTCGTTGTGCAAACTGCCCGATGTTATTTTATATGCCCGCTTATGAGAAGTCCCGATTGCCTCATGGGCTCCAAACCACACGGGAAGAGAGAGTAAGAAGAAGGGGGGAAATGGTCCTTATCGGCCAAAATCAATAGGGATACTCAGGAGGGGAGGACAATAGCACAGGGAAGTAACAAGAAAATTATTCGGATGCGATATTTAGACGTAACTAATTATGCCACTTTATATATTTTATCATGAAAATCAGTCGTAGCCCGCGTGATCCACGTCCCATGATTATTGCTAGTCACACGTCGACTCGATTTGCCTCTCTGACCACTTCTGAAGTAGTTTCTCCGGTAATCTCGTTGTGTGCTTGTTTGCTAACATTCCCAAAAACCTCATCAATTTCCTCTAGCGTCCTGCCGGTCGTCTCGGGTACCAAGAAAAAGGCCCACGTTCCTGCAAGAACACAGCATGCCGCAAAGAAAACGTATGTGCCATAACCAATATTAGCCATCATTGCCGGAGTCACGATTCCAACAATGAAATTGGACAGCCAATTGACACAAGTTGATAACGCGACCCCTTTAGAACGAAGTGCATTTGGGAAGACCTCCGAGGGCAGGGCCCAGCCGAGAGGTGAGTATGTATTCCCGTAGACCAGAATGTACAGGAAGGCCATCGCCACGCAGGTCCAACCAGCCGATGGGTTAGCCCAATTGGGCCCATAAAGAGCCATTAGCACAGCAATGACGACATAGCAGGCTCCCATAAGGAAGCCTCCTAGTATAGCCAGGGGTCGCCGACCAACTTTGTCGATGGTGAAGAAACAGACTAAGACGGTGAGAAGCTGAAGCGAATTGAATACACCCGACAAAATCAAGGACATCTCGCCCTTCTGGCCGATTGAAGTGAAGAGCGTCGGCGCGTAGTATATGAAGGCATTTACACCTGAGAATTGTTGGAAAAATCCTACACCCACGCCGACTGCTGTCCTCTTCCAGGTCTGCGGCTTGAATAGATCCATCCATATCAGGGCCTCTCGCTTGATACCAGTCACTCCCGGGCGTTGTTGCTTTTCCATGAGTTTCTGGGCTCTAACCTCACTGATTATTGCGTTGAACTCGGCCTGGACGCTCTGATCGCTCAATGGAAGGCCGCGCAGCCGACTCAGACTCTTGAGACAATCCTCCGGCCGATCAACGAGCGCCAGCCACCGTGGTGAGTATGGGAAGAAATGTATACCGATTCCAACAAGAGTTGCGCTGACCATCTGCAAGCCAAAGGGCACACGGAATGAAGCTTCACTGTTTACCAATCTCATGCCGAACGTTATCCAATATGCTATGACTGACCCGGACACGAGGCAAATGGATTCGAGCACTAATAGAGTTCCTCGCAGGTTTGGTGGTGAAATTTCTGAGATGTAAAGTGGTGCGCCCTGGTATTGCCAGATATATTAGCAAGCTGTCTTGCATGGGACAGGAGATTCATCTCTACCATAGCCAGTGTACCAACCCCGATACCACCAATTGCTCTTCCAGCAACCAGCATGCCGTAACTTTGGGCCGAGGTTTGGATAATGGCCCCGATGTCAAAAATGATAACGACAACCGTCAGGGCCCACTTCCTGGAGACCTTGTCGGCAAGATAAGGCATGAAGATACAACCGACAAATGCCCCGAGGAGCAGCATGCCTGTCATGAACCCTTTACCAAATTCACTCTCCGCCTGCGGGATAGCCGCATGAAATTGTGGCATGACATTGATGACTGATATAACTCCCTGGTCATACCCAAAGCTGAAACCCCCAAGAGAAGCAAGGCAGGCGGCTCCAAGAACATACCCCGAGCTGAAAAGCCCTCTGACGCCATCCGGTCCATATGAAGGCATCATATCCAGCGCTTCAACACCAAGAGTGCCCCTCTCATCATGCTCCACCGTAGTATCATCCTCTTTCGACTTTTGATGCATTGGAAGAAACTTGCGCGAGTTATAGCGCTTGACCGTCTCTCCATGTATTTACCTGACTGAGGAGGCAGGACTGAGCACTTAAGTAGCCCGTGGGGTAGGGGATATCTGACTAGAGTTACCCCGGCCGGCTCTAAACACACCCCCCCAGACGGCGAAAAGGTATAAGCGCACCAATAACATCTGCTAGAGTGGCGTACAGGGATTACGAAAATTACACGCGCATCGGACATCTCTCTTGACCTGACCTCCGGTACTTACCATGATTATTAGTCCCGTATCGTGTCGGTCAGTCATTGGGCGAATAACGCACTTGCTCGTCTCTCTATAAGCCGGGTGGCCGGAGACGTATGGATTATACGCATTCTTTCTACAATGAAGTGCCTTGATGAGTTCTGCTAGATGGCTGTAAATACTATGATTTCCAGAGCCACATGTTCTCAGTCACCGAAGACACCGCTTGGAGTGTAGTGAGGAAAAGAGGCTTTTCAAAATTGGGCCATGTCAATAGCTTGTGTATCATATATCTATAGCTCTCAGATTGGTCTTGGTCAACGATTTCCATTGAATCAAATATCTGTTCGCCCCAGAGCTTCTTGATGCGACACCCCGGCTATATTCACGACCGAACAGCAACCAGGCTTGTCAACCCGGATACCAAATGACAGGTGGAATGAATCAGTAATGCACCACACGTTGGGCCTCTCATAAGACTAGTTCCAACAAAACCCTTTTGCTCGAAATTATAACTAACAGTCGCTCCTATAGTACATACGTCACGACATGCGGATTTAGGAATACGTAACCGTTGAGACCATTCTACGGCTTTTGCGGGGTCCCCACACGTCTTGAGGGCAGCATTGTTTCTGGGGAAGGCTGCCTGTGCAAGCCGGGATGCTCCGAGGTACCCCATCAAAGTCTTTGATTCGACCACCGGTCTCCACTCATCCGTTCATGTCTCTCCATGTCGGGGCCCGGGAAAGTTGTAACATGGCACGGAATCGGGTGACAGACATCGGACTTAATCACTGCAGAAAAGGGGTTCGGATATGCGCCCCGGTTCCAACCCTCTCGGCCGATTCACGTGATGTTAGGCCGTCAACGTAAGTATAGGCCTCGATGCCATTGTACATGGGGAACTGAGCTTATACTATATCCTTTTCAAGACCCCTGGTGGACCTTATCAGTTCCATCTCTGTCCCTTGAGCCGTTATGCAGTACAGACTTCTATTAGCAGGCGACAGAGCCGACTTTACCACGCTCGAATTCGACCAGAAGAGAGGAAAGTTGAGCATCCTTGCTAATTATGCATCTCCCTTCAATGCTTCCTGGGTCGAGCTATCGTCATCGCAAAGGGGCCTGGATCAACTTGTCGGCCTATCCGAGGGGGACGAGTCGGGTCTTTTGTATACCTTCGAGATAGATCACCTGAAAAAGGATTGCACAATTACCAGCCAGTTGCCAACTCTGGGAGCGCCTGGTCACTGTACGTAGAAACATCACTCGGTTTACCATACGGTTCTGATTAGTGACAATTTGGTCTTACTAGTCATCAAGTTGCGTGATAATACTGCACTAGCTCTTGGCACTGTTAGTCGACATCAGGTCCTCGTTTCGACACATCTACTAACATTTCACTCCATGTAGTATCTGGGAGGATCTGTTGCCCTCTATCCCATTTCCAGAACAGGCAATGGCAAGATACTGCTTCAAAATGTTCCGCGAGCGGAGATTCTACCGGAATTTCCCTATCAGTCGATTGGACACGGTCCTAACAAGGCCCGTCAGCAACAATGCCATGTGCATCAAATATTGGAAGACAGCCGAGGCATACTATACGCCCCGGATCTGGGATCCGATAGGGTTTGGATACTTCGGCGCGACGGCGTTCAGCATCTTGAAGTCTGTGGCTGGCTACAGTGCCCTCCCGCAACAGGCGCTCGACATGCCGTATTGACTCCCGATGGTATGTACTCTTAGCCCCAACACGGAGAACCCATGATCCGGAGCTAGCTGACCTTAATTGCTAGAGACGATAATGTACGTTATTGGAGAGCTCTCGCACACTGTCATCGCCTTCGATGTATCAGCTGCCCCTGCAGAGAGCATACCCCCGATTGATGGCTTCGCACCGAGTATAATCCCTCTGGAGGTTCACCCCGATCATCAAGGCATGATGGACTCTGCCGAAATCGGTCTTCATCCCTCCATCCCTAACGTTATCTATGTCAGCAATCGCTGGGAGAGGCACATAGCGCAGCGTGAACCATACCTCCGCAGTGTGCCTCGCGATCTACCGCCGGGAGATGCGATCGCTATTATCCTGCTCTCCGAGGACGGCAGGAAGGTCAACGACATCAAGCATGTACGAACAGGCGTTGATGTCATCCGTGGCATGCGGCTCAGTGACGACGGCAGGTATGTCGTTGTAGTCGGACAAGAAGGGGGTGGCGTGGAGGTCTATGGAATCAACGGGGAAAGGGGAGACAAGTGGACTTTGATGGCCGCCCTGAAGGAGGGGCTAGAAAACGGGATAAAGCATGCCATTTGGTTATAAGAGGGTATACATAGACCGTCGGGAGTCCATGGACACGTATACTTGACATTGAGTTGAATTTTTCATATTGCCTTTGTAGAATGGAAGGAAGAGCACTAGATGGCTCTAACCCCCCCACGGGGAGTGGCCTCCCCAGAAGAGATATATGTGAATTTAGCATTCAAATTTTCCTTCTCTAAATAACCTTAGGAGGTAGGGAGGGGCTATCCATGCCTTGAGTGAAGTGTTGTCATATGTCAATGTTAGGCTTTAAGTTGCTAAAATGTTGGATCAAAGGCTCTGCAACCTATTGTTTCATGTACATCAAGCTTTTTCAAGGCTATGAGTCTGATGAGTGGAAAAGAGCTAATATTCGAAAGGTAATTACGGTTGGGAATTCCAAAATAGACAAGAAAACATCCAAGCACATTCCTCACAATCAAATTAACATAATCTACTGGATGATCTTCATGTTCTGGGGACATCTCTAAAGCTAGCCGTTTCTCATGTTCAACGTCATACCAACGTTTCAAACAGATTTACTGCCTTTGGTAATGCCCGAGCATACAAGAGACAGCACATGGCGCTGCACCTGCTGCGCTGATCCTTCAACATTGATGGTAGTGACATCCCACTCGCTCTTCTGTGGCTCCTCCAGGGCTTGCAGCTGGGAACGCACCATATTGCTCTTCATGTAGTGGCCCTCTCGCAGATTCACACGTTGCAAAAGTGTCACCTCACTTACCTTAAGGTAAATAAAGTGAATTTTGATCTGCGACGAGCCGTACACAGCGATGCGCATGACCTCGCGGTACTTCTCTTTCAAGGCGGAACAGGAAACGATCACCGATTTTGGGGGATGAAAGTTGTTGCGTTGGCTAGGGGACAGGGCCTGAAGGGTGGCCTCGCGCAGAGCAATAAGCCAGTCCCAGCGATCTTCATCCGCAAGAGGTACTCCGTTCCTCATTTTATCTTTGTTGGATTCAGATTGGTACTGATGTGTGTCAAAAGTCAGCTTATTTGCCTATCCTGATTCAACGTCCATCCCTCATGTACAGTTTCCAACCTACGTCATCTCCTTCGAGGAACGGTACACCCAGCGAGTGTCGCAAATATTCACATATTGTTGTCTTCCCACACCCGGCAGGACCAGTAACAACCCAAATATGTTGCAACTGTGTATGGCTAGGGGAGTGTTCCTCCGGGAGCTCGCATGGGATCAAGGACGACTGGGCGTTCAGTGCGAGCGGCATGATTGGCACTCAATCGCATAGTTCAGATGTGTCAGTGACCCTTTCTTCGGTGTTGGTCCGTAGTATTGTATTTGACAAACAGTGAGTATAGACTTCCGGATGTCCCATCGGGTTTATTTTTGGCTTTTCGCCGCTTAGCGACCAGGGGTTATCCTAGCGGAATGGTGAGCCGGGCAAACTCCCCTTCAACCGAGGTCAAGATAATATGTCCGATGACGGGGTCCCACCAACACCAATTATCCCCGGTGCGTCACAACTCCGATCCTATGGCCTAGAGTAAATCTCCTGTCATCCTCATATACATCCCCGTTCCAGTTTGTTATGTCCGTTAGGCTGAAAACCATTTTTATTGGCCTCCCCTGCTGGACAACTGCTTGTACCATTGTACGTCTTCAGAGAACAACAGCAACATGGCTCCTCCCACTCACTTCAAGCTCAATACGGGCGCCTTCATTCCCGCTGTCGGCCTTGGTGAGTGGCATTGATTCTGATGACGTTGCTGCGACCTCAATAACATAGATGATATGCCCAGGAACCTGGAAATCCGAGCCAGGAGAGGTCGCAAAGGCAGTGGCCTTCGCCCTCAAAAATGGATACCGGCACATTGATGCGGCATTGTGAGTGAGCCCTGCTGTCCCTCTCATCATCGAGTGCTGGCTAACGAACAGAAGAATCTACGGTGAGCTCTTCTGTCTCGGTGGGCTATCTTCCCAACCCACAGTTATAATAACGCATAACTCAGGTAACGAAACCGAGGTCGGCCAGGGAATTAAGGATAGCGGCGTGCCCCGCAAGGACATATTCATCACCAGTAAGCTTTGGAACACACATCACCCAAATGTCAAGGAAGGTCTACAGAAGACCCTGGATAGCCTGGGCACCGATTATCTTGATCTTTACGTAAGTGCACTGTCATTTTGTATGCGGCCTAGCATCTGGTCTGACGAAGTATTCTATCAGCTTATTCATTGGCCCGTTCGGCTGGTTCCAGTGAGCAGTTCACATTCCCAGCATTCCGCCCCAGAGCCCTGCGCGACTAACCTTCTCCATGCAGAATGAGACGAGCGAGCTTCTGCCGGTAAACCCGGATGGCACCCGCTCGGTGGACCGATCGTGGGATCAGAATGAGACCTGGCGCCAGATGGAGGAGGTTTACAAAGCTGGTATGGTTAAGGCGATTGGGCTCGCCAACTGGTCCATTCCCTATTTGGAGGAGCTCCGCAAGATATGGACCGTTGTGCCGGCTGTAAACCAAGTTGAGCTGCATCCTTTCCTCCCTCAACATGAACTCCGAGAGTATTGCGACAAGCTTGGTATACTCCTCGAAGCATATTCCCCTCTAGGTTCTACCGGTGAGTAATTCATCTAGCTATTATTCTTGTGTCCCACAAAAGCCATGTGCAAATTACTAAGATGTCTTTTGCCAGGGGCTCCTATCATGTCAGATCCTGAGATCCAACAGATTGCGGACAAGAATGGGGTCTCCGCCGCCACGATCCTCATCAGCTACCACGTCAACAAAGGCGTGGTTGTTCTTCCGAAATCGGTGAGTGAGAAGCGCATTGCTAATAACAGAGAGGTTATATCACTGTCTAAAGAGGATCTGTATGTGCTGGACGGAATGGCGGCTGCGGGCAAGGCGAAACGCTTGAATACGCCGCTGTGGGGATTTGATCTGGGCTTCGCGGATTGGTACGGTCCGGTGAAGTTGCAGTAAAGCTCATATAGGTCTGTGTGATTATAGAAGGTTTCAATCCATGAAAACTGGGAAGTGAATGCTCAGTAGACTCTGTCACGAATTCTATAAACCTAGTATTCTTTTCCTATGAAGACCGCCATTCATGTGTAAGGCTATACTATATTTCCTAAATTCAGCAATGAATGTGCCACTATGGGGTGGACCGACCCGAGTCTAGCCTAATGACGAACCCTTGGCCTATACTATCCATAAATCTTGTTTTCTCCGATGGTTCCCCAGTTACACGTGAACCTTCGGTTTGTCCTTCTGGCCACATGTTTCACAAAGGCCACCAGGTTATAACGTGACTTTACTATTTCATCTTGGAATACATGCAGCAGATGAAACATTCATCAGAATTCATTATGGTTCCATAAAATGAGATCTTTGAAATGTTGTTATCGGAAAGGATGGATGTGTTGAACTCGGGTACTTAGGCTAGACAGGCCACGAGACGTACATTTTCCCTTCCCTTGAGGTGAGGTTAATTAAATTCTACACACGTAATAATCTTTAAAGCAAATAACCATACAGGCACTTCCAGGAAGCTATGTTTATTGCAGTTGTATTGTCTATGACGTCCTTGTGTGGAGAGAAACTAAGGTCTAGTCCTTGTATGGAGCCGGAGATATACCTTCCATCAGAGCCTTTATGCGCATAACAAGCAGTTTGGAATGGAAGCGGGTGTAGGGGAGATAGCCGACCATGAGCCAGAGGTTGGGCACTCCAGTCTCCCGGTACGCAGTTTTGAACTCGCCTTCCTCATCAATACCCCAGATGGGACCGCACTGGTCGGCGATCTTGTCACCTAGAGTGGCACGGATCGAGTCAATGGTGTTGGAGAAGCCAGTTGCGAAGACAATCAGGTCGAATTGGCGCTCACGCCCATCGTTGAGGATTACCTTGTCCTCCGTGAACCGCTCAATGTATCCTGGCTCCACCTTGATCTTGCCATTGATAATGTGCTCACACGCACCGGCATCGAAATAGAAGCCACCGTTGCGGGTCTGGCCGAGGGTGGAACCGCCCGTGCTGCGCTGACCACGCCAGGTACGGAGACCACGAGCATGGAGTGCATCCAGAAGAGGCCGGTCAAGGTCTTCCAACACCTTAGCATTGCGCCTGGCGAGTTCTTCTCCGGGCCCAGTAGGGGTGGCAAAGAAAAGACGGTCTTGTTCCTCATGGCTAGGCCGGTTGCCTTCGGCGTCAGGACCATAGTTACCGATTGTGCGCGGGACGGAATGGGTCAGAGACATGATGTAGGTTGGGGACCGCTGAAGAAGTGTAACATCGATGCCCCGGCGCGAACAATCGAAGGCCGTATCGAAGCCAGAGGATGAGGTACCAACGACACAGACCTTCTTACCCACAAACTCACGCGCACTGTCGTGGGCCGTTGAGTGGCGGATAACACCACCCTTAAAATCGGCCATCCCGGGAATATCCGGAGTCATGGGAACGCCGCAAAGGGAGGTAGCCATGATGACCTGCTTGGGGTACAGTTGTCTGGTTTCGTGGCCTTCTTTGTTAATCACGACCGTCCAGTTATGCTGGTCGTCTTGCTCTGCCTTCACGACCTCCGATTTGGTCCAAACATTTAACTCCAATGCCTCCGCATACCACTTCATGTACATTCCTTGCTTCTGAGCGGGTGTGTACGTGGGCCAAAGCTTGGGGTATGGAAAGTAAGGCAAATCATCAGCCCAGTGGGGGAAGTGAAGCGATAGGTACTCATAACGCTTCTTCCAGACATCGCCGATCTCTTCGCTGCGCTCAATGATGAGGCTATCCATACCAAGTGCCTTACATCTGGCAGCTAGCGCGAGACCACTATTTAAGAGATAAAAGAGTCAGTCTTAATGAAACGAGATATGGAAGAAACAGACTAACTTCTGGCCTCCACCAATGATCAGGATCTCGGGGTTGGCAGCGTCGATTTCCGCAGCTCTTTGCTTCTCCCAGCTGACGGGACCCGTCATATGCCCGTCGGAAGGAGGAACTTCGGGAAATTGTTTCAGCTTCTCTGCAACCGTGTGCATTGTGTAAATCTTCCACCCCTCCTGAGTGAAGACCGCATTGATAACGGCTGAAGAAAGCACGACTTCAGTCTCAAAGGACACGACGAATTGCAGCTGAGCAAAGTCCGGATAGGGCCGGGAAATAGTCGGAGCCGGGGTGAGGAATTTGAAGTTGATGGCTTTCGTTTTAGGGAAAAGGTCCGTGGCAGCCTTGAAGATTGCCGGGTGAAAATTGAAAGTGCGGTAATCCCAGGTGAAGGTCAACTTGTCCCGCCAAACTCCTGTATGAGAAGGACATGTTAAGGGATGCCTGCACGGGCTCGTAAAAGTAAAGCTCACCATATGGAAGGAACATCTCAGCAAATGCCTGAGCATCCCCAGCTCCCATGGTCTGCGACAGCCGCGCCACGATGTCTTCGGCTTCCCTTTGAGCATCGCAGTCCGTGGGAACCTCGATCCCCAAAACATCTGAACTTGGCAAGACATGATTATATTTGAAGTCGTACATAAAGTTGTCGTCGACCGGAGGCTTTGACGGATGGCATTCCAGCTCCTTAACCACGGCTTTGGCCTTGATATCGGTCATGTTGGCTTTGCTGCTGCCCAGGACAGGATCATGCATGGTGATAGCCATTGCGATCGAAGTAAAGAGAACCTTGGAGATGTACCAGACGCTGACAAGTTAAGCATCCTTTCCATATTTCTCTACATGTCGCTGCAGTTACTCTCGTGCCCTTTTTCAATAGACAGCTCTGCTGCATGCTTCCATCCAGGTGACCGGAGATAAACGGGTGATTGGGGCGTCGGATATAGTGCTGGTCACATGACCGGACATAATCAAGCCCGTCCACCCGATGCCGACGACATTTGCCTGTGTCTCTGGATGAATTGACTCCGGGCGCACTCTTTGTCCCATCCACTCCAATCTCCTCCATCATATCGTCCGATGCCCATGGCATGATGGTCAAACAGTCAGGATCGCGCCTCTCCCACGCATCGGGCAGAGGCGCTGGTTCTCCGCGCCGGAATAACGAGGCCGGGGACACGCAGGGGCCGCCCAAAAAACAAAGGAGACAACGGCCCTCTCTCAGCTGCGCAGGTTGGTGCCAACCAATCCCTGCAGTATGGGCTGCTTCAGAAGCGGTCACGCAATGGCTAACGCTAGGGCTGTCAGAATGCCGCCGGCTGAAAATGAAATGCGACCGGCAGGGTCAGTAAACAAGCTAACCTGGCGTCTGGAGTGTTTCTCCCGGCTGAAAGAAGATTGCAGTGCCATGCTCCAACTGTGTCCGTCGACGCCGGGCCCCGTTCTGTAATCCGGGGATAACCGACCAAACACCGTCACGGTCTGTGTTTCTCTCGTTATCCCTGCGTTCATGTCTGTCACCAGCTGAGTCAGTATCATAGCAGGGAGTCTGAGGTGCACCAAAGACCGCGCCAGGCTGCCGGGCATGATCAGCCCTCGCAATCCCCGGACGGAATTACTCGCCTTTCACCTGTGACCCATGAATCTGGCCCTCACCACAAACAAAGATGGGAATTGCTACCCCAACATGATTTCTCCCAGCATCACAATCATGGCCAAGCTATCGTCGCTGCGCAGGGCTCCGCGGACGATCCGGGTCGGAACCTGCCGCCGCAGCATAGCGGCAGACGGGATGAACAGCTCGCCCTCCTCGCCCATGTGCTACAGTCAGACTCCTTACAGAACTCTCCTTCGGTGCTCACAAGCCGAAATCCTCTGGCTGGCCACGGTGATTCAGGCAAGGATAGTGGCCTCCATAACTCCGCCGCACAGCCTCTCGGGGTGGGTGAACAGAGCGGCTCCTACGGCACATTGATGTTGGGCAAAGGAGGTCGGTCAAAATACTTGGGACCGACTGCGGGCAGTGAATGGTTGAAAGAAGTACGTCTCCTTGCTGGAACGGCACTCAGTCCGCTAAGAGTATAAATGGTAGTCCGAAACACAAGACATATCAGACAGTCCGCCGGTTACTCGCGCTCCTTCTCCCAAAATAATCCAAGAACCGATTCGATCTCAGCCTGGTCGGTTAACTCCCGGTACTGCTCCCATCGCCTTTCCTTTCAACGTTGCAGCCTCTCATATCAGTACTCGCGAACTGCTCTCCCGCCTGCCGCCAAGAGAGGAGGCGGAGACATTGGTTGCGTCGTACTATCGCTACTGTGCTTGGCAGTGAGTGTCGGAGACCCAGTACGAAAGATGGCCCTGACAAAGGTTTAGTCATGATGTGGCTCCCAGAGCCACTTTCGATAAGACATTTGACCGAGTCTACGCAAATTCAAGTGGAATGTCTTTATCCCCACAAGTCAATCCACAGGAGATTGCACTCGTTTTTATCATCCTGGCTCAAGGCACCTTGTTCAATATTGAGATGCCCAACTACGATCCATCTACCGAAGACTGGCTACACCTCTCGGAGCTGGCTCTGGTCAAAGGACGCTTCCTCTCAAATAACATGGTAGCCGGTCTCCAGACCTTAGTAAGTCTTCATTTAATCGCGCCCGATCAGCTACTAACATTTGCTAGCATTTGATGGCGCATCTGCATTTGTATAGGAACCCCTTTGTTGCGTAATTTCTTCAGGCTAACAATTGGGGTAGACAACTGGATAAAGGCGGAAGAGGTGACAATTCCTGGCCTCTGTGGGGACTGGTCATGCGATTAGTCCAAGCGGTAAGCATGGCTCCTTGATGTGACGACAGCATCTAATGGGTCCATCTGTAGATGGGTATGCACCGGGACGGTGCCCGCTGGAACCTCTCTCAAGATGTGATTGAGGAAAGACGCAAGGTCTTCTGGGAGCTGAATGCTGCCGATATCTTTCAGGCTCATTGCTTTTCGAGGCCGTATGGATACCGCCTGTAGGCTTATTGCAGTTCTGATGTCGGTCAGGTGCGCGATTAATCCTGAGCATTGCGACGTCGAATTCCCTGCCGAGCCGCTCCATGTAAGCCCGGAGAAGAGCTATTCGAGACTACGATTCGAGCTATCTCAGCTTTCTTCCGAGTGTGTACTTCATTTTTACCCAACCCTGCTTTGTTTGTTATTGCTTCGGGGCTAATGAAGCTGAAGAATTCTCCATATGGCCATGAAAGTACGGAAACCACCGTACTCTGCTGTCACCGATCTAGACATTAGACTGTATGTCCTCCTGTTCGACAATTGCAATATGTTCGCATGCTAACCCTACCGAGGGCGGACTTTGAGCGCAACCTTCCCTTCTCCCTTCGTTGTCGAGCAGCGTTCCTGTCCATGCCCTCTCGGTATCCCCACGTCCAGGCGGCAATCGAAGCATCACCAGAACCATCACGGAGGTCAATGACCATATCCTTCCAAGTTTGTCTGCCCATCCCGTCCATTCGTGCGTCTGCTGATCGAATCAGCAAAGTAATCTTGCACTTAACATATCGGAGACGATAATCAACCTACATCGGCCTTATTATGCCAAGGCGCTCTACGACATCAACGAACATACAAAATCTATATATGCGCCCTCATTTCTCACAGTAATCGAGCGTTGCGGAGTAAGGCCATCCTTTAGGCTGTCCAATCATGATCTCTGCTTAACATTGGTAGATTATCATTGCTATTGTTGACGACATTCATACCCGCTTTCCTGCGGTCAGCACCAGACAATGGAATTTCTGGGTAGGAGAATCCATTTCCTTTGTGAATGAGAGACCATAATATCTGATGGTGTATGGCACAATAGTATCATGTGTTTGGTTCGGCTCTCTGCTTAGGGACGTTGGTGTTGCGCGATCCCAAGAATTCAATGGCTACTTTTGCTCTTACGCAGGTTGATGCCGCGATCAATCTATTCACTTCTTTGGTTCAGCACGGCGCCAACACTCCGAGATACTGCCGTAATCTGCAGTGGCTTTCGAAATTGCGCGCTCGGGCATCGTCCAAAATTGCCACAGCGTCTACCGCCGCCCAACAGGCCGACTCGCAGCGAGACCAGGGCGATCCGGACAGGCAGGAAATTAGTCGAGAAGACAGAGAGGATAGTGAGGATGTCGAGCTGCTCGGTTGGCGGACCAGATTGATTGAACGGGCTGGTCAAGGTCGTCCGACTATCCGCACTATTCAGCTTGCTGAGACGCCGACCGATTCTCATGAGAGCTTTGATGTCTCAAACGCATCGCCGCATGGGCATATTCACAGAGCCCCTCAAGGTGAGCTGGGAATTGGAGATAATATCATGATCCCAGGCTCATCCCTTCCTATGGTGACCCCCGACTCGACAAACGAACTTGTGAGCATCATTATCCCAGCGTACGCCCATTGTTCGAACTGACACATACCACACAGTTACAAGACTTTTGGGATCCAATGCTGCTGCAGGATATATTGGGAGGCATTCCAGTGGAGTAGGCAGATATGATGATGATTTCGGAGCCGAGTCTCTCTAACTTTCCTCCGTCGGGAGGCCGGACACACTACAACCATTTGGCATACTCTAGTAGTGGAGTCAAATTTCGTTCCAAATAAATATGTTCTTAACAAGTGTGGTACGATGTTCGTATTGTCTTGACTTACCATGATAAAAAAAAGGTATCCTTTAGGCAGTATCATTTTTCAAAGCTTCAGAAATTACATCCAAAGGCCTTTAAACATCCCGATGCCGCCACTCAGGGTTCTGCTACACACCTATAGGTTTGTTCACAAGACCAGAAGCTTATGCACCCCTTCAACTATAAGTCCATCTTAAAATTTGCTGGGATGTTAGGTCTACTCTAACTTTAAATTGCGAAATGTCCCGTCTACGAAGGCCTCGTGGTAACCTTTGAAAGGCTGCCAATGCAAGGAAGGATGCATATGTATCACACCTACAGTTCTGTCTATGGGCTTTGATGGCCAGCAGAAGTAAGACTTGCACAAACATGACCAAGGAGACTATTAGTCTATTTTACCGACTGGGTTTATATGTAAAATACTAGGCCTTGTCCTTCGCAACTTCCATGATAGGCAGACCATTGTCGTCAAAGTATACCGGTACGCCATTACGGAACGAGTACTGTAGAGCGGTGGCAATCTTAGCCGCCTCATAGGCATCCTCGGGGGCGCAAGTGAGAGGCTCGCCGTCAAGAACCGCGGCCGCAAACTCTTCCAAGTCTTTGATGAACGATTTATCGTAGAGGACGAAAGCATCTGGGGTTGTAGCCGTACGCACACCATGCGAATCACGAATCTCAACACGATTGATAGTGGAGTTTGCATTGATGACCGAGTGGGCCTTAGTCCCGCACACGCGAGTCATCCCCTCGAAGCCGTTGGTGAGAGTGCGGCCTAAGTGGAAGGTGAGGATCTTGCCGTTGGCGAATTCTACCAGACCCCATCCGTTGTCGCAGTCGCCATACTTAGCAAGCTCGCCATACACAGCCTGTTGCCCCATGGCAATGACTCTGTTGACCTGTTTCTTGGGGTTGGTGAGGCCCGACTTGACATCCAGGTAGTATCTACCAATGTCGATCTGTGCGGTGTGAGCAACTGAGCCCTGCAGGAACTAAGTAATAATGGAAATATGACTAACATCGTGGACCCCCATATCAACAAATATACCTCCAGACTGCTCGGAAAATTTCACAAAGAAGCCTATGTAAGACGGTTAGAGCTCACTAGACTGTCGGTGATTGTTTGAAAGAAAGCTCACCTGTAGGATCCTGCTGGTCAATGCAAGAGCTCTCGACCGCGTGGATATCACCGAGTGATCCATCCATGACCATCTGCTTCGCCTGACGATACGAATCATCATCTGTTCTGGATTAGTCGATAGGCCTTCACGTTTAGCACGGAAATTAAAAGGCTTGACTCACACCGTCGACAGAAGGGCACCAAGAACTTAAGATGAGGCTTGGAAGCGGCTTTGGCGACGACCTCCTCAGTAGTGATGACATCTACCGAGATGGGCTTCTCACACATCACATGCTGATCGCAGGTTAGACGTCGATTTCACATGAGTAAACAGTTGCTTGTAAGCTCACCAGGCCTAAATCAAGTGCTTTGAGGATTAACGGGGCATGGGTAGCAGTGGCCGTTGAAATTAAGACAGCCTCGGCACCGCTATTCTTCATGCAGTCCTCCGGGTCATCGAAGAACATGACTGACGAAGGCAAATTTGTCGCTGCCCACTCATCTGCCCCGGGTTTTGTATCGCAGGCAGCGACAAGCTCAATGCGAGGTTGCTGGAAGGCCAGAATTCGGGCGCGAATGGCACCCAGACGGCCTAGGCCGATCAGAGCGATCTTCATGCGAGGTTGGCCGGTCATGGTGAAAGGAATAAAAGTTTTTATTGATGCTTGTAGAATATAAAGACTCCGAAACAGCTTGCTCTTATTTCGTCTCTTTATTTATTATTATTATCGGGCGCAATTCTATTTCAGACATGATTGAGGGGTCTTGGTTAGGATCCGATGTATGCGTTCACAGTTCAGTCAATGTCCGACGGCCGATGCTTCCGCCCGATCTGCTTAAGTCCGACACTTGTTACTTGACCGGATCGGACGAAATTTCTAGAGGTAAAACATTCAGTGAGCTACTCCAATGCTGCTCCTGCCACTATCCAAGACATTTTACTTTTTAACCTCGGGGATTGGTCCTCTTTCGGACGAGGTGGAAGATGTTTTGGCCTCATAATTAATATCCTTATGACATTAATTATAAACTGCACATGAATGGGAGGGCAAAAGTCTTTATGACCTTATGTGTTTTCTAGACATTCTAGTACTGCTGTTGATTGGTCTCCGTTGAAGTACCGTCCTGACCAGACCATGCGCTGTAAAATAAACCATTTCATTTTATCCTCCGACACTACTAATAGGCATACATGGTGGATAGTATATAAAATTGTTGGGCCAGGTCTACTACATAGCAATATGACCGGGTAGTAGTCCTATTTGAATTCATCTGATCAGTGAAATAGTACTGTCATACTCGGTTAGCATAATTATAGCGTAGATTTCATAGGAAGGGCCTTGTCGCGTTTGATTTGCAAAAGCCTGAGGCATGTGAATCAGGCCTTAAGGCAGGGATTCATGCCTGGCCTATTTAGGCCGAAGCGGTAAGGATTCTGCCGTTTCATCTGATTCCTCAATTGGTAGGCGGACTGCCTGTCCATGATGAACACTACTGACACTGCGACTCAGTATGAATACCTGATAGTGCTGTTCATAATTGATGAATGGGCCAATTCCGTGTCGATAAGGACTGCTGTCTATTTTGGGTCATGGGTGGTTGCATCAGAAACTCCATCCTGACCGCGGTGGCTAACGGCTTCGTTTTATCCCATCTGTGGCAGTCACTGAGCGCTCAGCAGATGCAGCCAGTATTCCACTCGATAGAGGCCCTTTGCCGTCTTCCAGCTTCAGTATGTGGCCTCATTGTTTTGGTGGCAGAAGGATCAGATCATTCCTCTGCGTACTTGGCAGTGATGATAGTGGGGTGCGATTGACAAGGTACTAGATTGTAAGGTGCACCAGTCAATGAGCGGGAGGCTGCGTTCTCTTTGTGTTTGTGCGTCGCACTACAAACAACCAGCTTACCGATAATGGTATACGAACAGGGATCATCACTATTTAGTGCAGTGCGCAGCAATAAGACCTAATTTCCCGAAATCCATTCCAAGGCCTCCCTTCCCCGTTCCTATTTTCCCCTTCCATCTCTTATCCTCGGGAGTAGTGCTGTGCTCCTTCTTTTGCTCCACCACCATAGTCTTCAGCCTTGGGAAAACCTTTGAGACTCCCCTCACTAGCAAACTTTCTAGCAATATTGACTCGTATCTTCGAGGCTAATACTACTGTACTTGCCCACCATGGCAAGCATGAAACTCAATGGAGGGGTCGCCCTTGTGACTGGGGTGAGTTCCTCCCATCCCATCTTGCGCACATAATCCCCGTGTACCTTGAAGCATTCGAGACAGCAGCACAATATGATTAATCCTAACTATGTTTTGACCTACTAGGCATCGTCCGGCATTGGCAAAGACGTTTGCTTTTCGCTCGCCGAAGCTGGCGTCGAGTCAATTGTGCTCGCCGATCTGAACCTCCCTGACGAGGCCATTCTGAAGGAGTGTCAAAAATTCTCCTCTCGCCCTAGCTTTCGTGCCATTGCTGTCGTCGTCGATGTCATCGATGAAGCCAGTGTTAACGATATGGTTCAATGCGCTGTTGCCGACTTTGGTCGAATTGACTACTGCGTCCATTCCGCGGGCATTTCGACCAAGCGTTCACCCACCTCCGATCTAAACGTGGAGGCTTTTGACAAGGTAATGACAACCAACTCCCGCGGATCGATGATGGTGCTGCGGGCTGTCACCCACGCCATGGCACGCCAAGAGCCTCGTTCGTACACCAGCACACGCAGCAACACGACACGCAGTCTGGGCCGCGGGTCAATCGTCGTCATCGCATCGATCAACGGCATGATATCAGCAGCTGGCATGATGCCATACACAGCGTCCAAGCACGCGACCATTGGGATCGCCAAGACCGCCGCCGTGGACAACTTTGGAAACCAGATCCGTGTAAACATTGTCTGTCCGTCGTGGACTGATACGCCAATGATGCAGAGGGGCATTGAATATTTTCCTGCGCTGGGCCCAGCAATTCAGAAGCTGTGCCCACTCGGCAGGACCGCCATGGTGGAAGAGGTGTCCGATGCGGTTGTCTTTCTGTCTAGCCCCGCTGCTTCGTTTATCAATGGAGAGTCCTTGGTGATCGACGCGGGTTTTACTCTGACGGGATTCCGGCTAGCTCAATAGATGCTATCATGTCGTTCAGTAAAGGTCATGTAATCAGAACACCACAGACTTAATGAAGGGGGTCCTCCGGGCCTATCGAAATGTAATCCTCTGGTCCAGTTCCTTCACCCTTTTATTATCGGATGAGCGTGTGTTGTATTTGCAGATAAGATTCATAGGCTAGGAACATATGACAGGAACATATGACCAGCATTGCCTCTATTGTCTGGCTCTTGGAGCGTTACTTAGTCGTCTCCAATAGTATGCTCAGTATCTGTAAACCTCGCCGGTTCCCTGCGACTTCGGTCCACTCGCAAATCAAAAACATCCAACCGTTGATAACCACCCACAACATCGTGATATTGCTTTCCTTCAACGCAAAGCTCCAAATCCAAGTCCGCATACAATATTGCTTCTTCCATCTGCAGAAACTCCCGTGTCTGCTGCTCCTGCGTCGACTCCATCACCGTAAATCCCTGAACCGGCGATCCCGTGGGATCGAGGAACATGGTGACGCCGCGCGGTGAGAGCTCCAAGGTCCAGCGAATCCGCGCGGCGTCACTGGCTCCAGCGACAATGGTATCAATGGCGGGTTTATCGAGGTATCCACTACACATCACACCAAAGCACTTGGCCT